TATATATATATATATATATACGATTCTCAGCTCCACAGCAGGTCACAATACATATGTGACCTGCTGTGGGGCTGAGAATCGTTGCTTGCGCCTCCCCCGGTGAAGAGTATGGCAGTATCAAGTGGCGATCTGATCCACGGTCTCCTGAGAGCTGCAATAAAGCCAAATACTTAGGGCAAGAGTTCCGTAAAGCCAACTCCCCTCCCTTGTTGCCGCCCATCCTGAGGACAAAGGAGCAAACGCCTGGAGCTGCAGTTGGGGAGACGGCCAGCCATCCGTTGCGGCGAACTTTGCAGGTCATGTCGCAAGAACCCCACATGCAAGGAAACCCAGCTGTTCTTGGCTGCACCCGCTAGCACTGTAAAACGTTGTTGAAGAATTCTAGTAGCGTGCAGATGGATTATTGGCGTGGAGTTTCTCTCTTAATGCAAAGGATTGTCAACGCTACAGCTGCGGCCGGGTACAACAGTAATCAGGGGAGGTTGTAGCCCTGGGCAACACAATGACTCCTGCTAGCTGACTGAGGAAGATACAGTTCATAGTACCATGCGGTATAAAAGTGACTTCTGCATAAAACGTAGGGGCTAAGCGGGTGTAGCCCAAGCGCCTCGCCACTTAGAAGTTCGGTGTTCATCCGTGGAGGCACAAAGAATAAACATTACTCTTGCAGCCCCCCTGCATATTGTATGCACAATGTGACTTTCCTACCTGCCGAGTGCTAAGGGCATTGGACTGTGCATGCGGCATGGTAGTACGAAAGTCCCCTGGACTTGAGGAGGTTCAGTACTTCACTTCTAGTGTTACTGTACTTGTACAACGAATCTGGGTATGTTATGCGTTTCATAACATCGATTACAGCCTACTGAAGAGGGAGTTCGTGCAACGGGTGCGCTGCACGTCGGCATGTCTCACGAGGCGGTAAGCAAGAAATGCGTTTTAGGCTGGAAAATGCTACATTGAATACGTTCTGTAATTTAACTTAGGATGTGGGCTTCTTTTTACTGTCCAACAGGAGCAAGGGCCTTGTTCCATTTACGGAATGATTGGACCGCTCGCGGACTGCTCACTAGTCACCACCAAGCGTCTCCTACGAGGCTCGTAGTTTTCTTCTTGCTGCAGCCTTCGGGAGCTCCATACTAGAGAAAATGTGCTAGAAATGCTTTGAAATTTTGCTGGCTTATGAAACTGGGGCACGGAACAAAGGATACAATTTCTGCACTTACGGCCGAAACGCATCGTTGCAACCTTCGTATTGTCTCCTGCCAAATTTAGTAAACTCACTGGGCACTCACAGCCTCTCGCTTTAAAGTCAAAGTATGCTTTAGGATCAACTACGATCTGCATGAACAATTCAGACAACTAAATTACCTAAGTTCAGTTGTTCACTTTCGAACGGATTTCGTCGCGCAACACTAACAATTCTGTTTGACAATCTAGGAAACAACGACTGCAGAACCTTTCCACTCTCTGGTGAGATCCCATAGCACAACACGCCTACATGGAAGCGATGAACAGCGAAGGTCCTCCAGTTGTATGGTGGAGCACCCTGTTCTCCTAATATTGCTCGAAAGGACTAAGTATCCAACGTTGGGTGTTCTCCAGGGGCTCAGCTCCTTATCAGCTTGAGCGAACCAGAAGGAGAGCCGGTTTAGGTGCTTCAAATGAAGAGCTTGCTGGACCTCTGCTAACGGGAGCGTCGACGAAGTACGGTGTGCATTGGTGGAGGTACACAGAATAAGCCTTACTCTGGTGTACACGGGCCCAGTAGTGCTTGCCATGGAAGCTGTAAAACCAACGAACGTTTCAGCTCTATGGATCCACCAGAATCGCTACCGACGGGATGAACGGTGCTCAAATATTTTCTCGTGGAACGTGCCAGAGGATCGGCCAGTAGCACAGCTCAACCTAATCAACACGGGTCCGCAAGGAGCCCTAGTGGGAAGGCTTCGGAAAGTGTCTATCCTTTTTCTGAGCCTCATCTTCCATGCAGTGGGATGCTTATGCCAGGGCACCTCAAAAGTAGAGACGGTTTGCTCTGACGCGACAGGATGTACAGAAAGGCTCATCATCGAGCTTGATGTCGACAATCTTGATGTACGTGCCCATGAACAACTCTCGAGAGGAAGTCATATATGGCGAATTCATTGCACCTGCAGGTGCATATTGTAATGCAAATATATAAGCGCAATTTATGGGTGGATTCAGCGACATTGCCTACAGCACCACTGCCCCCACCGAATTCATGACCTACCGTTCTTGTGCTGCCTTGTCTCCGTGGTGTCTCAGAAGTTGCAGTTTCAGTGGGATGCAGGCAACATAAACGATAGGTCTCCACGGAAAAGCGACGCAGGCAATGCAGGAGTTGTTGTCACTGTGCAAAAGACTGCTGTATCCTACTCCTACGGGCTAACCTACATAAAGGTAAAACTTGGACAGGGGGCGTGCTCTGGTCTTTCAGTTGATAATACCCGCTGCCTTTAGTTTCTACTTCTGCTGGGGCTGTGGATTCAAGTGGGCGTTTGCCAAGTGCTGAGCCCTCGAATGAGGGTATAAAGCAGAAGACTGTAATTGCGAAGAAATGCATATGCGCGTTTTGATTTTGCACAAACTTTCAGGCAGTCCCGTACAACTGGGTAGAGTACGCCCATCGCGCTTCACTGTGGCAGGTTAAACATGGTGGTGAAACATTTTGCTCCGATACCTGGGCGTCAAAATGCCAAGATGAGCATGGCGAAAATGGGTATCCCGTAAACCCCAATTCAGGTCTTCCTGTCAATGGAGCTCAAGGGAAGTGCTGTTGGTGCCCATCCGTATGGCATTTGTGGCTTAAAAACCCCAATAGGGGAAGGGAACCAATGCTAAAATGCAACTTTTGGGGTAAGTGTTATGTAGCTTTTGAATCTGGAGCAGGATGAAACATGCAATGACTTGCAGTGGTGCTAAACACACTCCAGATGGTAGGGGCACACTGCAGTGAATTTTAAGGCCTGCCGGTGCTCACTTAATAAAGGAATAAAAGGTTGCTCATTTTGGCTCCGTGAACTTTCTTAGGATTGCGGTTCGGCAAAATCCCAGATCCGTACCTGACAAAATTCTGCCCCGTTGTCGAATATCCATGGTACCGTATGCTGAAGGTTAGCGAGAATCGAACATGGTTTTTCAAGGTGCACGTCGGTATATCCTGGTGGAGTGAGCACGAGCCACATTCAGCATGCATAGTCCCACATTTCAGAATTCGGAGTTAGCCAAATTGCCCGTTTATCAACAGCTTTACAGATACTCGGCTGCTCCAGGCCCTTGACACTGCTGCACCTAATGCTGAAGAAAGGAACTTCTATCCCCTTGCCTGCCGTATAGATGCTGCTTAGCCAAAACAACGCCCTCTCCAGTCAAATCTGGTTGATGAAAGGGAAGCATAAGTCTTTGTGCACAGGGCCTCCTAGCCCCTCCAGCCTGTCAGATGAGGAATATCAGAAGGAATGTAAGAAGAAAATTTCGGAAGGGAGCTATCCCAAAAATTTCGATTGTTCGCAGCGGCTCCACACAGAGGCGGGGATGGCTGATGCAATCCTTGAGCTCTCAGAGGCCACAAAGGTGGCAAGAGATAGTGAGGGCGTGCACACCTCGTCAAAGGTTTCCTCCGTTCCACTGAGCATGTTGCTATAGCCCACCGAGAATTCTTTATCGTGATCCTGCTAAAGGGGCCTAGTTTATCTCTTTGGCATGCAGCTGAAGCCTGAGTTTGTGTATGGGTGGTGTATGAGCAGCAACATTTGACGTCACAGCGCGTCTGACGGGTTCAGAGGTGCCACAGACTGATGTGAGTAACATTGCACCTCGACTGGGTTGAAAGCAAGCACCTCCACTGTCGGTGTACTCTTGCTGACAAAACGTCTGAACTGACAACAGAGGTTATACGTGAAAATGGAAAGGCGCTACATGTTGCAGGAACCCAATGTTGCGGGTAAATATGTCTTCGTGCCAACAGCCCCCTCCACTAATGCCTGGGTGAAGGAATCCCTCATAACGGTGAGTTGTGGCGCACCAGAGCGTGACGTGAACAGCTATACGGTCTCTTTCCTGAGTTTTTCTAGTGGTTGGAATTACAGGTTGTCAAATCACTGAGAACCGGGGTCCGATACAGGCTCCTGTATACTGAAACACAGGAAGGATGCTCGGACTCGGAAGACCTTACACACTGGAATGTTACTGAGACGGACAACCCTGACCTGGCAAGACTTTGCAAATCTGGTTCGACTCCAATTTACACCACCAACTCCTTCGCAGCTTACCTCACCTTCCCTGAACACCAAGCATGCCAAGGATGACAACCAGTGGCGTGCTGCAACCGGCAGTACTTCGTTGCGTCGACTCGTGGAATTTCAGGTTCACCTTTTTGCAATCCGAAGAGCTGTTTGAGGCACATGATTGTCCTCGATGAGAACAGCGTTACTGTCGATGGCAGCGTGTGCGACCTACCAGGAGTTTCGCTGCTGCAATGGGGAAGGGATGGTTTCTGTGATTATAAACCGGGGACCTGCTTCGCAAAAAATCTCAAGTGGTTCAATGCTTTCAATGAAGAAGCTGCAAAGGCCAGCAGGCCACCCCCTTATGCCGTAACGCATGCACGAAATGGAAAATGCCGAAAAATACTTACAGCACCCCCGCCTCATACTTACCAAAGAAACCAACCTAGACCTGAACTCTAGTCTGGGCTGGGAGAAAACCCGTTTTGAGCCTGCCAAGGTGTGAACCTGCTCTTCTGCAGCTGCAATACCCACCAGGGAACTACCCGCGCTACCATGCGGGCCTATCAAATGCGAATGAGGCTATCGACACCTCAAAGGCTGGGCCCTTCGAGCTGCATCGCTTGGCCTTTGCCTATCCGTTAAGCCACAAAAGCAAGGTCCGTATTGAGATGAACGCCGGCTTGATTCGCTGGATTCAGTCCTCAGCACCGGGTCAAATAACTAGCATAGCGTGAGTTGTCTTGCCTTTTTCTCTCCTCTACAGCAGTGCCACGCGCCGCTGCAGTGAAAAGTGTACTCTGCTGCCCAAGTTGGCCAGGATATATGCCACATTCGCCTTTGGCTGCATACATCAATGAACACCGCATCGAGGAACGCATATGCGAGCAGCAGAAAGCCTTTGTGAAACGCATTGCACCCTTTACGATCTGTTCGCAAACAACTGCAGGCCCCCCGCGCCACGTGAATGCGATAATGGTCAGACCTTTGGTTGCCCGCTTAAAGTGTATGTGTTGAATTCAGGTATGGGTATGCACTTCCTAACAATCAACAGAAAGCCTGTATTCTTATTCCGTCACTTCTGCATGGACCTTCAGCAGCTGTACCTTTCAGAGTATTTGTGCTGTCTTAATGGCTTTCCTGAGCAGAAAGTACTTATGCTGTTTCTGTGAAACGTTTTGAATGAACAGGCTCTGTAGATGCGACGTTCTATTTGGAGCTGCCATATTGTACAGAACACGGAAGCGACGATCCAACGGATAAGGTGGGCGACAGATACAGATACTGGAAAGTGAGGACGGAGTGAAACGCCGATAGTCATGCAGTGCCAAGCCAGATAAACAACATCACCGTGAAAGAGGCTCTAACTAAAGTTGGCGGAATTCAAGGAATAAAGTCTGATGGTTGTACCCTTCAGTTAGACCCGGTCTCGGCCGTGCAGAGGAATGTTCCCGCTGGCTCCAGTCAAGCATTTGACCTCACTTTGCGCCTTACAGCCGTTGTGGAGGAGTTTGATTTCAACTGCGTAATGAAGCTCTATGATTCAGAACTTAATCAGCTGGACATTAAGTCATTTGACCTTCTAACGGGGAAGGCGGCGGTGGGTTCGGATACAAAAGTTTTACACACTCTTGTTAGCATTCCTTGAAACTCCTAGGTGAAAGTTTAGTACTCTGCATTAACAATTCGAACGGATGGGCTAGGGTTCATCAACGAAGCACCCAGTCCTCCATTTAGATGCATGGGCCCTAGCTTCGATAAAGTGGAGCGCTGAGCACGTGGGGACCTATCGCTGCTTTCTGAACGTCAACCGATATTCCGCTTAAGGGACCGCAGAAGGGCCGTGACCATTTAATGCTTTCAGGATTTGCCAGGAGCTGTTACGAATCCCACGGGTGAAGTTACTGTTGTGGAACCGCCTGAAGTACGGCGTCTAAGGAATATCAAGGGTCCACACTGCAACTGGTACCGGTACTTCCATCTAAAGGGATGCATCATATACTGCACCCGGTGTTGTATCGCCAGATGCAGCAGCTTGTTGCGCACTTCAGGACAAACGGAATTGGTTTCAACGACTCATGAATGTCGTACCAAACGACGGAGAATGCGACTGCTCGTTTTGGAATTTAATATGTCTACCAGCTGACTGTAAGCGGTTCTAAACTTGTTGTACAACTGCCACCCCGACAAAGTTTGCTCACAAATAGCTTTCCTGAGCCTTGATCAGATTGACGAACTGATCCCTGTTGGGAGGGTGACCCCATGAGGCGTTTTTGCTTCAACAATAGGCTCCTTGTCTCTTGACATGATAAGCGCGTTGCAGTGATAGACCTCCTGACCGCCCGGTTTCGATTGTGGAATTCCTGTGCACTTACAGGGAACGATTGCTTTGGCTCTCTCAAGAAGGCCCTGAAGACGATACTACTGGCTGGTGTCACAATCGTGGCTCTCTTCCTTTTGTGGCCCGTTCTCAAGCCTGTCTTGAAAATTGTGTGCAAATGCGCCCGCGTTCCTTTTAAATGCTTGAGATGCGTTGGGAGACATAGAAAAACAAATCGAAAGGAGCACAAGCTACGCAAGAAGGAGGCTAAGCGACTAGCGAAAGAGCAGCGGCGCATACAACAGAAAACTCGCAGAAGGACTGTGGAAGCACACCAGCAGCCTCTCTCAGAATGTTGTAGCGAGGTACTTGACGAGTCCCTAAGAGGTGACATAGAAGGCAGCGGGAGCGCTATCTCTGATGAAGCTGTATCTTCAGGAGCCTATAGTACTAGTGGAAGAAAAAATACCTCCAAGGACGAATCTGCTCCGGTCAACTCGAACAGCGCTAGTGACAGTGTAAGCTCCGCATAAAATTTGATACAGGGAGGTACAAATTGGCTAAAAGAAGAGAGCCAATCGGGTGATTCTGTAAATGTGAATTAAAACATGACCACCCTCTAGAACCATGGAAGTTAATACGGTATAATAGCCAATTACTTTCCTCTTGCATACGTCCCGAGCGAATATGCGGGCTTTCTCAGGGATTCAGTCGCCAAAATTCGACTCATCCGAGCAACTGAGGAGTGCAGTGAGACAGCGGTCGCCAGTACCTATTCTGCATGGGGAGCAGTGGCTGCGACTCATGGTAGCTCTCCGCGCTCCGCCCTGCAACATGCATTGGTTTTGCTATACGAACCAGGGTTCTGTTTTGTGAAGTCACATGCTCAGATTTTTCCTGGGAAAATTAGTATTATTTCTGTCCTTTGCCCTTTCGTTATATACTGTGCCTAGCAAACACAGCGATCACAATGCTTGTACTCCTATCACCCTTGTACCCCTGTCAGCAAACTCTTTAGAGACATTGCTCCGAATGCCCTCTGCAAGCCATGCTCACAGTGCTCACCCCCTTTCACCACACCGTTTGCATAAGGCCTATCATGATTTTGCTGAAGGCTGCGAGCTACGAGGAAAGAGTGTCATGCACACAACTTTGACTGCCAAGCGCAGCTTGAAAAAGCGCGACAGAAACCGCCACCTCCAGACAGGCATTAGGGCCCCTTCCCTTTGCTCGTAGTGAGTGAGGCATATAAACTAACCTTATGCATTTATTCATGCTCTCTGTAGACGTTTGAACAGAGCAATCGTAAATGCCGTGGAACGGCGGGCAAAGTAGAAGCCCGTAACCGGCCGGATGAGGTGAGTACGATGTACAACTCAGTAAGATTCAGCAGAACAAAACGTTCGTCTATGGGACTCTTATGGGTTGCACTTTGAGAACTTCTGCCTTCGAGCAAAGCCATAGGATGCTTTCACTAGCCAGGCCTTGCGCTCTGGGCCCAGGGTCACCAGCTCACCGGGCAGCAGTCGCAGAATACTGTTCCATAGTTCGTTGAATCTGCATATAACAACGGAAGATGCAGAAACCATAAAGTCCGAGTAGAAGTCGAAGATTTCTTCTGCTACTGCGGCATCTACACTTCTACAAAATAGGAGTCTGTAGAGGTTGAATGTAGCGAGCAGCAGGGTGCGCATTCTCCTGCATGCGTACATCCCCCCTGATTCTCGAAACTGAAGAAATACTCGGTGTTGCCACTTTTTATATCGCAATATTAGGTATACACAAGCTTTAGTTGACTGCGTAGGAGAATTCCTCGCGCACAGCCTATGCCAGTGCTCGCTGCCCAGGCGGCGAAGGCCTCCAGGACTACGTACTGAAGAAAACTCTTAAGGGACGCATTTCTGCCAAATAAAAACTTGCTTTCAGATCGAATTAAACATGCAGCTTTCTCTTGCAGCGAGGCAGCGCCTCGCCCACTTCTTCATTTCAGTTGCCGAGCTTGAAGGGCAGGTGTGCTTCAATTCGATGCACCGTGGAAGTACCTTATCCTGCTGTGCCGACAAAATACGACTTCAATCAGGGCTAGTACTCGTACCTTTTTTAAAGACACTTTAGGGGTTTCACCAGAGCGGCTCCTCATAGGCACTAGCTGGCGAGGGTAACCGCAGCTGGTGATAATCCCGCGTAAATAAAACTCATATTGGCTGCTCTTATGTGCTGAATATTCAGGTGGAGGAGCTGCGTGTTGCGCTTGCCCACCGCCCATCCTTTGCTGCTCACAAAGCATTCGCTGCACTGGACCCCCATGGGAACGGCTGCCTGACCAGTGAATCAGCAGTTTGTCGGGAAACCTTTAGCCAGTTATAGGTTTACCATACTGTTATACTATTGTGCAAGCGTTTTTTCAACTCTGTTGAGATTTCCGGTGTGCTACACTCTTGTGAACCATGTTGTTACTGGTGGAGGTGTATGCAGCTGCATCTTGTATTCGTCAACAGGTGGAGACCTCCAGCGGTACCTCAGGAACCATGGGATTGCTGTGACAGACTCCGAGGCGTATAATCTTCTTAGACGTCTCGACACCAACTCAGACGGCAGGGTTTCGTTTCCTGAGTGAGCTTGCAAGGCTCCCGGAAAAAGCTGTCATCTAGCATTCGTGAGATGGCGGAAACGATTACATGCCGTGTATTGAAGTAACACACTTTCTCCATACGAGCGTTGTAGTCGGGGTAAGAGGCGTAGCAGAAAAGAAGGTTGATGATGTGCTGTCAACTTGTCCTACAAGGTTCGTGGATTTTCTGTTGCCCGCGGACCCATCGGAAAGAGAGCTCTTACTCTCCCATGACCAACGTTTCTTACAACATATAAACCGTAGCGCTGTTACGTGTTATTGCTGCTGCTGCTGCTGCGCTGACAAGAAGGAACGCGCCTACATATGCAGCGGAGGGGACGGTTGCGTTGCCCAGCTTCTACAGCGTGAGGTAGACGCTCACCGTGCATTAGAGGTCCGAAGGAGTATCCTTTCTGCCTGCCCAGACTTTATGTTACTCGCCGCCTTTCAGTTTGTTGAGGACCCAGCCATCGCTGCAGTCACACCCTTCTCCTTGGCTGAAGCACTTGCAGAGGAAGGATATGCCTTGACGCACATGGACCAAAAGCTCATCTTCCGTCGATTTGATAGGTCTTTCAGCTGTTTCCTGCTGACTGCTTCCTTGCTTTATCAGACTGTTTCGGTTCTTCTTGGCACTTTATGCACCCAGCCTCCGACGTTCTGCTAGTACAGAGAGACAGTTGTTGCATATGCAAAATTGCTGCCTTTAATTACCCAGAACACGTGGCTGGTGGTGCTGCACAGAGTCAAGTTTAGCTATGCGCGAAGCAATATTGAAACGCGCCAAATAAATTGTCGATACATCGCAGGGACAGGGATGGCCGCCTTAAGTACCTGGAGTTCGTAGAGGCCGTGATGCCTTCCAACTATCCCACATCCAGAAGTTGTGCCGACTCTTTGGCTGCAGTACGCAGTCTGGCCAGCGAATACTTGCTGTAGAATTCGGCCTTTTTGGTTTCCATCAGCTTGGATGCAGCTGCTGGCTGTCTTGCTGTTGGGCTGGTTCTTTCAGCTGCAGATGCTCTAGTTTGTTCTTCCGAAACTTCCATCTGCAGCATTTCTACTATCACAAAGTCGCTTGTATGCTCGAAAAGTAGGTAAACGTGAACGTATTGCGTGGGGTTTTGCAGGGACCCCAGCTTTGCGTTTGCTCTCCGGAGGCCTCATCGATCGACTTCTGCTCACAGTCAGCTGGGCTCAGTGGCAGCAGCAGCAGGCTGGCGCGTCGCCAGAAGTGCAGCGCACTGCGAAGCAGCAGCTCCAACAGCAGCCTATTACGCCGACACTTGCTACATCCCCGTAGAGGTTGTTCGTGCAGCAGCACCTTAAGAAGCTGTTGGACAAGGAGCGGCAGTTCAAATGAGAGTGACGACAGCCTATTCTTGTGCGGTACCGGCAACATGAAGAGAAGCAGTCGGTTCGTGGCAAGCGAATGTGAAGTGGCAGGTGTCCTGAATTCGCAGATTGACACTGAGAGAAGACTGGAGTGCTTGAGGGAGAAGCTGGCACTGAAGTCTGACTTCAATCTACTACAGTTCTGGGGGCTTTTCGACACTGAAGGGAGGGGATATGCGACAGCTACGCACGTACAAGATGCCTTCAATGCTCTTGGGCTAAACATTTCCCTCACGCAAGCACGTCTCTTTGCTGGTAAACTGAACAGTGATTCGGAACCACGCTTGAGATATGCCGACATGGCGAAGGCATTTCTGCCTACGAAGGCAAGATATGCCGAAGCCATGATTAACCGTACAAGCAACGGGAGCCACAAGTGCCCAGCACCACTTACGCACTTGGCCCCTGAAACGCTCGAAATCATTGCCGCTATCTTCGACCTCACTCTTGCGGTAAGCACGCCTTGTCAGCATTCAGAAACTCCATTGTGGCGAGTACCTTACTCCAACGATAAAAATTCAATAACGAAGCGCATTGCTGCTTCCAGGAGGCATATGACACAGGGAAATGAACTTGAAAGCACAACGTTAGGGTGCATACTTGACTCTGCATGCCTTTTGTCCTTTGCATTCTCAAAGGGAAAGTCAGTCTACATTTTTGCGACGCAGTCTGAAGAGCAAGCAGAGCTATCGAGGCATCGCCTCTGCTTGAAGGACCTGTCAGCTGCATTTCGTGACTTTGACAAGTAAGCAGGCTTCGTAAAATGAAACCAACACCACAGAATGAGGTTCGCGCTCACAAGCAACTTCTTTCGAGATATCCTCACATTATACGCTTCGATTCTTCTGTAGGAATGGAGACGGGTACATTACAGCTGCGGAGTTTTCAGCTTCTCTAATGGCCCATGGGTTTTGCCCCTCAGAGGCTGAACTCAATGCGCTGGTTAACCGCTACGATAAAAACGGTGACAGCAAAGTTTCTTACGCAGAGTTTGTCAACGAGATTGGACGCACAAGATGTCCGGTTGGTTGTTGCCGGTTGGTTTGCCTCTGTCACTAACTGGGAAAGGCAAGGGGACGCTGTCCCTGTGCAGCCAGCGCGTCTAGAGACCAAAGCCCTTTTTGCTTGGCTAGGGCTGGTCATGGCTGCTCTTCACACAAGGATTGAGCATCACGGATCTTCGGCTACTCCAGGAGTCGAACGTGGTTTGAGAGTGGCGAAATTACTTCGGCAACCAGGATGTCTATGCGCACAGTGGTGAAAGGAGTGCTATCAAATGTTTTTAGCTGAAGAGCTACTTGGCTTACCAACTCATGACTCTAGCGTAGCTAGACGCCATATGCACACGTCCTGGGTTCGTAATCACAGAAACCCTTTTATGCCTTGAGCATGTTGACAGATGCTTCCGACAGAAAGGTACGTGCTGAAGCCTAGCACGATAACATGATATTTAAACAATCACTTGTTATGTACCGCTTCCATGACGGAACCGCCCTAAGGTGGGGCAGGCTTCGCCTGCCTTCCTTTAGGTGCAAACTCAAAAGTATGCTCTCTCTACCAGCTTATGCAGGCACAACACTTTAGCCTTTCCACACACTCCTAGAAGCACTGTACATCGGTATCGCAGAATGAGAACAAGGCCGAGAATGGATTTGAAACCTCTTGAGGACGCTGCTCGTTTTGTGCGTCGCATTCGGCACATAAGCTGAATGAACTTTGGCCTAACATCCCCCCCAAAAAGTGGCAGTTATTATCGCAGTGAGCTCTGAATAATGCCATGTTGGGGTGAAGAAATGCACAACAGACCATCCTTCTGTGGCTAAAGCTTCGTTATCGGTAGTCCATCCTTGTTAACTGGATCTCCTCCGCTGCACTAGGCTGCTAAACAATGCTTCAGCACTTCCGTTGGCGCAGTCATGCGTACCAACTAATGTGGTATGCAGGTCTTTTGGATTCCGTATCTCGATCAGCAAACTACACAACCGTATGCAGACTCCTAAGCATCTAGGCAAACCGTGTTCCTGACGCACCCCGAAGACGGTTAGGAGTTACCCTACGAAGGGCATGCCATGATACATCAACACAAAAAGCATGAGTTAGGGAAATTCAGCCCTTTTACGGTACAGTCGCAGCTTCTATGTTATCACGGATTTGTTTAGGTATTATTAGGTCTGAGTTACTACTCTTCGCTAGTTTCTTCTGGGGTTAGGCTAAGCGACTGTTCAATCCAACGCACACTTCGCAGCACAACTCTCGTGTAATTGGATATGTTCATTTGTAACACTCCCCTTCGCCATCCTGGGCTAAAGTATCCCAAAGTTCACAGATTCTTGCTATGATTATTCCAAAGAGTGTACGCACACCATCCCGTTTACATCTTGGGTCACTTTGGCTTCTACGCCTTTCAACCACACCAAATTCTCAGATACCATTGCCTGAACTTGAGTCCAAGCTCAAACATGACGCAGGCATTTAAGAAGCAGGGGAAAAATTGGGAAGAATTGAAAATCCGCGGATTTACGGTTGGAGCCGCAGCGACCGTGTGGTAGAAATCATCGGGAAGCACACCGGCAGCTGCATCACGAACTTAGGGCAATTTTTTCATCAGAGACTATCGAAAACAAACATGATATACTGTATTCGTGCAAACTCTGCATTTGCGTTACGGGTACACTTCATGAAATGCCGAAACCTATGTGACAAGCATGTGTAAAATTAGCCAGTAACCAACCCATTTTGCATATCTGGGACTAGATTAGCTTTCGACCCAACGAAACCTCGGTTCAATCAATTTGCTTTGCAAACCGGGCCACGGCTGTATTGTAGCCCTTGTTTCTATTCCGAATAAAAACGCCTGTTAGGCTCGACGACAGGTAAACAACAGGCACTGTAATAACCCTAGCCAGGTGCCTACATAGGTCTAAGACTAGAGGCTGGTTTGCCTAAAAAACTATAAGCCAGACAAATAAATAGTATAAAACAAGAGATGGAGTTCGGTTGACCATTGGCGGCAAAACGGGGGCTTGACCGCGGGAAGAGACGCTAGGGGCCGCTGCTGGATCGGCTCGAAGCGGCATGGCGATGGAGTCAACTTCACCACAGCCTCCTATTACAGAACCTTTGGGGAAAACTCTGGAGAATAAATAATCACATTTTGATCTACAGGAGATGTTAATATATTGAATAACGGAAAGTTCGACAGGTAACTAGACGCGACGACATAGCAAAACCCTGGACTGGGCGTTTGGCAAAAGGTCACTTGCTTGTCCAGGCAAGTCACCATATTAAAAGAAAGTGCCGCAAATACGTGTCATCAATTGATATTGAAGTGCATAGATATTGCTCGAAATAGGAAGACTGCGCATACTAGGGCTGTATGCAGCTGCATCACTGGGACTAATCGCTGGAAGTACGCATTGGATTAGTCTGCCTACTCTGGTATCTATGCCATCTGCTCGTACAGTATTGAGATGGGCAATATTCTGCAATCTAGTAGATATCAAGCGGGTCAGGTCAACTCCCTCGCTCACCAACAGCGATAGATACGGCGGGTGTACATAGCTTTAACACATTTGTCGCATGCGTTTTCTTCCTCTTACCCGTTCATTAGCTAGTAACTGTGCTGACGTAAGTAAGCGCGTCTACGTATTTCGGCTCCCAGAACTCTGCTTTGGACCTTGGAAAGCTGCATATGCTGAACTAACACAGATGGCCAGGTCGTCGCGTCTACCACATATTTTCCGTCACATCGCATCCTTAGAGTATCAAGAAAACGCTCCCAAAACCATCTGGTATCTGAACCAATCAAATGGCCTAGTTGCAACCGAATGTCCGTAAAGCGTAGCCTGCCGTTTTTTCCACGGAACTTGCCAGAAGTAATGTTTGGCTAGGAGCTCCAGCTGGAAGGCCCTGCAGCCGACTTACACAGAGAGGTCTCTTGCCTCCGACAGGCTTAAATGCTTAAATTATGCTGTATATTTCTTATGTGCAAGCCATAGCAGCATTGCCGGTGCCACACCGCGTTTTTATTGAGTGGGGTGGGGCAGACGTTTGTGGGAAAGCCCGTCCATTCTGCTAAAGAAACACAATTCCTTTTACGTTATTTCATGTAGTCATTTGCTATAGCACGTTCCTGTCTTGATTATAGCCGAAGAGGTTGCAGGATCGTTGCAGTAAGTGCACCCGGTAGGCGCTCCCTGCAACATACGTGCGCTTTCATATTGCTGGCCGCCAGACAGTCGGGGAAGTCTCCCCTAATGGAAGAACCCGTCAAGCCAGTATCTTCAGGGGACGAGGATGGGTCAGTCGGCTCCAGCAATGGCATCAACGGGCCAGATCCCACCCCTCCACAGCTTGCAACAAGCGGCGACTCAGGAAATCAAGTTTCTGAGCCCACTGATGAATGCAGCCACTCTCAAGCAGCAAATGAAAGTGTCACAGATGATCAGTGTGAAGGAGCTTCTCCTGCAACGCTCACTCTTCTCGAGAGGCTCCGAGCTAAGCGCTTGGCACGGGACAGTCGAATGTGGGATGTAGAAGATGCCGATTTAGAGGCTGCACTGTTGACAGAAGTGGAGCTTCACATTAACCGAGGCTCTTCTGATGCTTCCGATGACTTGTCATCAACAGATTCCACATTACTCTGTCCCATAACGAGGGCAATGAGCTCCGTTGAATTCGATAAAATAAGCTCTGTTCCTTACCATGCACAATATCAGCGCGTTGTCGAGCAAGAAGAAGATGCTGAAATGGAACGCCTTCTGCGGCAGTTAGAGGAAGAACAGCAAGCAATGCGTGATTTGGCGGTAGCCCAACGCTACCAGCTAATGCAAGAACAAATCGCCGTGATTCAGAAGCAGCTTGGACGAGGAGACTCCAATATCCCTGACCTCGAGTGGCTCATGGCCAACGATCCCGAAAACAACCAAGAGCTAGATGAGGTCATGGCGGCATTCGCCGCTAGAGACGATGACCTGCCGCAAGAGGCCCCAGAGGAACCCGAAATTCCGCTTACTTGCAAGAATATTTTTTGTCGATGCCCATGGAGGGGTGACATGAAAAAAGATGAGAAAGCGTTAGCTCCCGCACAATATGGTGATCACAAGAGTCTAGGTGGACGCCCTTATGCGTGCTCTGAAACTGTGCAACATTTTGGGCTGCAGATACCTGTCTTCCGTGCTTTTATTCAGCATCCGTTGGGCCCTGATACTATGCCCCCTGGGTATGCCTCTGTTTATCGGTTAGTCTTTGAACGATACATATAATTTCACACAGCTCTTCACGGTCTTCGCACGAGCTTGCTTATACATTGTCTCAGACGAAATTTAGCGTTGAGATACGGGCTGAAGAGCTTCTCGTTTTCCCATGAGACAAAGCCTGTGTTTATGCAAGTTTTGGTTGCACGAAGAATCCAACGAAATTCTCAGCTCACTTAGTATAGCGATCGACGTTCGCTGCGGCGGGATTTAGAAGCCACTAAAAGGCATCTTAGAGCAACCCACGGTGTTTACACAAACTCCATGCATTCTGTTTTCAACACATAATATAAGGCTTGCATAAATTCGTTGTTATATATGCAGGCGTTATCATGAGTTTGTGTTCGGTGAAGAGAAGACAAAGGGTGGTGAAAGTGGTATCGAATCGCCAATTCAGCCCAGTATAATTGGCCTTTGCAACTAAATGAAGCCTCAAAAGTGGCAACCATGCAAACTTGGAATAGTGGGCCATGTATGCCATTTAGAGTCCATAGTCATTAGATGGTAGCCTCAGACAGCAATGCAAATGCTGCGTTCCGCTCTCTGCAGTTGGCATGGTTGAGCTGCTCCTTGTTTACCTTAGTTGTTGGCTTGATCATTCTCGGACTTGCTTTCGTCCTTGCTCAGGAGCTGAAAGGTCGGCGCTCGAAAATTGGCATTTATTTCCTGGCTGTCATGGGGCTGATAGATAGTAAACATTAGATACTGCTTACGCTTTCTGTCGAGTGAACTGTTATAAAAATCTCAGGTAGTGGGGGCATGTATTGTCGACGCAGCAATCGAGGCCAACATGCCAGACGGACTAATTATACCTGGTGTGGATTCGGAGGAAGGATCGACGATGCAGTCAAATCCCTATAATATTTTTACAACTACTGCCTGTGGGCCTTTTGGCATCCGCGTGAAGGTGGAACACTCCAGTAGTCAGTTTGTACCGCCACATCGCTGGGGTGCTTTCACAGCGAAAAACTAATGAGAGCCTGCGGAAGGCATGCCAGCGTACACACGAGGAGCACCCCCATACTACCCAGTCGAACGTAGTCCTGGTTATGCATGTGTTGAGATGCGAACGCCCACGCTGAATAGTTTGTGGGTTTGCTTTCAGAAACGCATGTTTTAAACGAGGAAGTTTTTGGTACGGTTGCCTTCATTGGCCTCTCAAGAGCAAATACCTGGGAAATTATGGGTTTGCTAGATTGTAAGCCTTTCCAATTATATACTACACCACATGACCTGGCTTTTGAACCCGGTAGATTAACTCCAACTGTGACACCGTGCGGGGCTACTCCTTTCCACGAATTATGTGCTCTGTTCCAGCCAACCCACAGACATGTATTGCATGTGTTTACGTGTCGTATATCAGTGGCTTATGAGCATGATTTCGACGCCATAGCAATAACACCACCTGGACACGGAAATACAACACAAGTGGAGGACGAAGGAGGAGGCTTCTGGAGTTCTTCAAATTTCCTCAAACACGCGGTTGAGTCGTGTTTGGGTGTCTCTTTGGCAAGAACCGTTGTAGTGTCCCATAGCAACTTCGTTACTCGCAAGTATTTTCTCCCTTTTCTGATGGTGAGGTTGTCCAATCCAGAATGTTTGTAGGGTTTCCACGATAACAGAATATCGTCAGCTCTAAAGTGCATGTACTTTGAAGAGTCTATGAAGCACATCTCTTCTGGCAGACAGTTTGAATGAGGCTGTTTGTACCTGCTCAGTCCGATATTGCACTAGGCTTCGTCCTCTTTGACAGTTCTGTCGGTACGGAATGGATGGATGAATATGACACAGACGTTAACGACCATAAATTCTACCAAGTCAGGACCAAACACTATCGCGTAAGCGTTATCCGAGTACTGATGCTATTTCCATATGCTCAAAAGTGGTCGAAGCACATGATATGCCGGTGAGGCTGACTCGCCTTCCACGAGCGTCTGCTCACGCCGCGGCTGCTTGCAATTTGCACACTTGTTTATCCGAGCCCATCTAATAAGAATTGTGCTGCTGTATTTTAGTACGTTGGGAAACGGCGTCTGGCCGCCGTCGATAGCATCATTCACTTTCTGGACGCCAAAGAAGAGGTGACCAATGCTCTGTACCGCGTATCCTACCAGGTAGTAGATTTGGTGCGTTGGACAGCTATTAGAAACATTGCTGGCCTCTATATTAACCGGACACTAAGCGTGTTTATGATTCTCAGGAGTTTACTGAAGAAAATGATTTAGGCACCAAAACGTGGCATGCACAGCACATGGCGTTTCGGAAGGAAATCCCACGTGTACTTTCAGCTACTTCACTCAAAGGTTATTGCCGAGCTGACCCTGAAGGAGCTGACGACGCCTTTCCAACAAATAGCACTCTTGGTCCATTCGACTTCTTCCCGGGAAAGTACAAGGTGAAAGCTTCGAAAGTATACGCTTGCATTTCACGTTTTGTACCAGTAACTGTCAAGGTCGTGCACTAACGCTTGCTTTTCTCACTAATAGAAATTCTGCCAGAGCACGGCAGGCGAAAATAGTAGCCTAGTAGCAAACACATAAGATGTGTTCAACAGCCTTTTTCCGGTTGTTCTCTCCGCTGGTGCCTACTTGGTCGTGCATTAGAAGCCAGGATGGGACACTGCGCGGAAACGTCTTCGTGAGACTCCGCTGGACGCTCCGGCTGACGAAGGAATGGAGAGCCGCCTAGTAAACAGCGAATATTTCGATCCGCTTCGAGTCGCTCTCGCTGAATTTCTTGAGGACCTGAAGACCCTGTCGCTTGAAGGGAAGTTGCAGGTAGAGCAGCTGCGCCCGTTACGGTACAACAACCGGCAAGCTGAGTACGACAAGTCGAGGGAGCACACTACGACGATCGACCCGATGACGGTTTACTGCGTCCAAGAGTCAAAAGCTATAATGCCGGCAACCCGTTCGATTGCCACCAGCGAGATCCCTCCAGTGCGCTTAGTTGACCCGGAGAAGTACTGGCTCCAGAAAAAGGTTCAAGCACTGCGCAGTACCTCTACCACAACGGCAACCCCTCCTCCAGCTGTAAAAAAGTTGAATCCGGTCAAACAAAAGGACATCCGCCTTCCCTCGCTGGGCGCCATCCTCAGCAGGTGGATTCCCTGAACCGTTCCGCATGAAACATAATCATGGCCAGTACAACTGCACTTTGTTGCAGCAGTGAGCCCAGAAGGATATAGCCGCCTTAGATCCATGTGCTGGTTACACCCAGGGCAACTGTGGCAGTCTGCAGAAAAGCTTTTTTTGTACTGATTACGAACTGCACCTTTCTTCGGGGATGCCCCGGCGACACGAATGAAGTTTCAAGACCAGCTGCTGCCAGAAACTTGGTTTCACTTGATTTATTCGGCAACTATTTGTCAGAAAGGTATAACGCTAGACCCAACTTCAGTAGTTACCCGAAACGTAGCCTACATGCGGCTTTTCAAAAGAAAAGCAGAGGAAGCAGGCTTGTCGAATTATTTTCCTGGATCAACCAGAAGCTCTGCCCATCTCGTGAACACGCGGCTTCCAGCATTGTTTAGGAGACATTCGTGATTTCAAGGGTGTTCAGACGTCTCAATGTTGCATATAGGAGCTTGCCCGAAATGCCAGTAAAACTCTGTAGAAGCTGGCTAAGCTGTAGCGCTGCAAAAGTCGTTAGCAATTCACTGTGCGTAAGACTGGGAGAATGGCATGGGGCTGGGGTAAACAGAAAAGCATTGCGTAGAGAAGCGATGCCCCGTGCGTGCAACAAGTGGCCAATTAAGCCTTTTATAATAACAACGGAAGAAACATATATCCATGCATCTTGAATGGGACTACTGACTCCATGGGTTGTAGCCAAGTCTCAACTGCAGCGATGCATCCGTAATCCCTGGTTTGGTCGAGGCCGTCCCTGGAACATACTATGTTTTCTGCAAACCACAACTAAAATATCCTAGTTTGTTCATTTAAACATAGTACCGGAAGACGAACAAAATGTCTGCACACTTTGGAAGAGAAAGCAAACGTGGACAGGAGTTTGTAAGGGAAGGTGAACCCACTCCCGTCATCTCGCTTCTTAACTGCGGAGAGGCTGCTGACATAGGCGTTCAAGAAAGAGAAACGGCAGCTTAACATCGTTACTTCCAGCCGTATGGTGCTTTCTGCATAATATGGAAACCTAGGTGATTTGAAGGAAAGTGTTGTGCGGTTCCCCGTATATCGGCCTAGGCACAGCGTCAAAATATGTCTGGTGGCGGTTATGCAGGAGTAGCGCTGAGACAATAAACGGCTTTCCAGTTTGACACTCTACAAAAGTTTAATTTATGGCTCGGTTGGGTGATGGGATAGGCTTCCGCTTCTCTAGTAACCAGTGAGGTCACCTAGTGGAATAGGACGTATCATGCTGGGGCTTTTGCGTTCAGTTGCCCGCAGAACTCCAAAGAAGTGAATTTAATGCAGCTCTACAAAGAGTTTTGTTGCACTGTTTCACCGGGCAGGCCGATGGTCAGTGGAGGCTGTCGCCCGTATCGAAGTACAACCTTCCAGCCCCGGTGCGCACTGCTCGCCTATCCAGAAGGGCAAGATATTCAAGTTGAAATTCAGGAACTTGAGGCATATGAAGCCTTGATGACACACCATTGATTTTGTTATACTATGTCCCACTCTCCTCTCACCGGGAAAACAGTTGATGCGCATCATCGGACCATAGTGGGGGCTTCACTCCTGAGCTCAGCCAGCGTAAATACGACGGCCGTGGCTAAATGCTAACTGACAACTCACCCCCGATAAAGGTAACTCTTTTAACTAGAGATAGTCGTCCTTGGCAGGACGAGGGCTCCATGTCCGATAGCTAGCGTTGCTCGACAGTGCCATCTTACTTCCAGTACAAAAACGGGAGGCTGCAACAATCTGAGAATAGGCCTCCCTGGGGTTCCAACTAAGGATTGCCTGCTTCCTTAAACTTTGACATAAATACCAGAGAGGATCTAGCATTGCAGCCCAGTAGAGGCTAAACGGAACTCTTGCGGAGTTCAGACCGAATGGAAGAACCCAATTTCCATGCCTCAGAAGAGGCAGCCACTGGCGATGCAGCAAATGGGCAGCTAGGTAGTGGAATTGTACAGAACGATCAACCTCAACTTGGAGATGCCCCTAACAAAAAACAGCGCGACACAGGGGGAGAGCCCGAGGGGCCAAAAAATCTTAGCCCTCCGCTTTTTGGGCAACAGGCACCTGTAGAGGAGTTACACCCACAGCATCCTTTGCCTTCTACTGGAGACGCGCATGATGCAGTCGTATGCGTCAATCCAGAGAATAATTCTGAAGATATTAGTGACACCGGGCTGTCGAGTGCCCGCGCCGAAGAGCTTCTGGCGGTATACGGGCCCAATGCTGTGAAGGCCAAACAGGTGAAGGACTGTAGAGCTAGCTGAATTCAAAGGAGTTCCTTGCCACCCGTCTATAGCACCATGGCCAACAAAATACTACATAGCATAATGGTGCTGCCAATAACCAACTGAGTTGAGCGTACACGATCCTTTGGAATCCACTCACCCAAGTTACTAGCCTGCCAGCGCTGCAGGGTGCCAACTCAGGCTACACTTCTCATCTTCATAATAGAGTTGACGTTGCTGGCAGCCAAAGTGGTCATTACCTTAACCGGTGCTTGCGCATATGCTGCCGATCTTCATGACGTGATTTCCTGCTTGCAGATTCCGGAGTGGAAAAAGGTCGTGCAGCGCTACTTGCGCGTGACACCAATCTTGCTATTGATTGCATCGCTTTTGTCAGTCTCTGTCGAAGTTGACGGGAGTCGAGATTGGCTATCGTTTGGCTTGCTTCTGTTTCTTTGCAACGTTATGGTTTGGGCAGACTACCTTGGTGAGAGATCGGCATCCGACGCAATCAGTGCTGTTGAGAAACTGGCAGCTGTGGAATGCAGCGTCAAGCGTGACGGATCGTATGGTCCCATTAATGTTGTCGATTTAGTTCCAGGTGATGTCATTTGGCTAAAGGCAGGGATGGTAGTCCCAGCAGACGGCGTTTTCGTCCCTCCTCAGAAGCACATATGCGTGGATGAGTCCGCACTTACAGGGGAATCCTTGCCGATTAAAAAGTTCAGAGGCTCCGAACTGCTTAGTGGTTCTGTGGTACAACGAGGAGAAGGGGCGATGCTAGTCCAAAGAACCGGGGTGCATTCGTTCTACGGCAAAACTATAGCTCTTCTAGCTCGCGCAGAATCGAAAGGCCACCTGCGCACAATTCTCGACGCTGCTGCAAAGGTCTTGACATGGACTGCTGTGGGATTTGCCGTTTTTCTGATATTTTGGGAGAGATTCCACCCGGTGTGGAGAGAGAACAGCCACGGCGACGCTAGCGTGGGCATCCTCTTCAAGCGAGCCTTCACGTTAATAGCTGCTGTTATTCCTGCTGCCATGCCCGTGGTCACCACCACTGTACTCGCCGTTGGAGCAGTAGCGATAAGCAAGGAACACGCTGTGGTATCGAGGCTATCCGCAATAGAGGAGGCAGCTGGAGTTGAAATCCTGTGCACAGACAAGACTGGCACGCTGACTCTCAACCTCTTAAGTTTGTCCCGAGACGAGATATGCACAGAGGCTGGCTTCACCCCCGACCAAGTACTGCTCTATGCATCCCTTGCAGCAACTCTAACAGACCCCGACGCCCTTGATGCTGCTATAAACGCAGCTGTAGATATGGGGGAGCGGCAGCAGTTTGAAGTGCTGGACTATACGCCATTCAACCCCGTGGACAAGCGCGCTGATAGCATAGTGCGTTCAAAAACAGGTGAAGTCACACTGGTAACAAAAGGAGCTCCTCATGTTATCAGCGAATTGGTCTGCGCACCAGGCGATACAGCAACACAGCAACGTCTGAGAGCAATAATCGAAGAAAAGGCCAGGAGAGGACTACGTACGCTGGGTGTCGCTATTAAGCCAGTTGATAACGACGCTATCACGAAACTTGACGAAGCATCCGAAATTTGCAACAAAACTGCATGGACGCTGGTTGGATTTTTAAGTCTATTAGACCCGCCTAGACCTGACACCAAGGATACATTAGAACGCTCGAAAGGTATGGGAATCAGTGTAAAGATGCTCACAGGAGACCAGCAGGCGATTGCAGCTGAAACAGCCAGGCTACTAGGTCTCGGGGACAACATATCTGGGCCTGAGATATTCAGGTCAAGACCAAAAGGCCTCGAAAGCGACTTAGCGTTCCGCGAGTATATTAGCTCTGTAGATGGTTTTTCTGGAGTGTACCCTGAACATAAATTCGAAATCGTAGACAACCTCCAGCAAGGGGGCTGTCTAGTGGCCATGACAGGTGACGGAGTTAACGATGCACCAGCCTTGAAGCGAGCAACGGTAGGGATAGCGGTTAGTGGTGCTACGGAAGCAGCCCGCGCTGCTGCCGACATCATTCTGTTGGAGCCGGGTTTATCCAGCATCATTACAGTTTTCAGCTTATCAAGACAAATTTTCAAGCGCATTGAGGCCTATATTACCTTCCGTATCCACGGCAGTTTTATGACCCTTTTGTTCTGGTGGGGCTGCGTCGTGATTTTTGACTATGAGTATCCCACGTGGGTACTTGTCCTTGTTGCAATCATCAATGATTTCGTGCTAATGAGCTGCTCCCGGGATAACGTTCCATCTTCAAGCATGCCACTTATCTGGTCAATGCTCCAAGTGTCAACGATTGCATTGCTGACAGCAACGCTCATGGCTGTGTGCATTTTGCTATATATATTCTTGTCCGACCCAAAGTACGGCGTAAATTGGTGGACTGCATTTGGTCTGGAAGGATTCGAAACAGCCGATATTGTTGCAAAAGGTAAAATGCCGGAGAGCCTTCAAACAACATCCGGAGTATGGCTCTTGTTTACTATCTGCATCCAAGTCAGTTTCCACAGCTGCAGGACTCATCGCTTTGCACTATTATACGGTCCTGAAAACCGGGCTCCTTCTTTCGTTGTCCTCACTCCACAAATCCTTGCCATAGTTCTTACATTATTCCTCTCCGTCTATTGGAAATACGATTGGAAGATCTCTTCGGGACCAAGAATGATCGGTATTTCATGGGGGCATGCAGGAATTACCATTTTGTGGGGTATTTTGTGGTTTGTATTGATCGATGTATGCAAAGTACTTTACTGCTACTATCTCTGGCCACACATAGCTAAACTGGAAGAGGGTTGGAAGCGTCGGTTTGGAAAGGTAACACCGGAAGAGCGGCAGTTAAGAGGGAAGGTCCGTCTTGCACTGAAAACAATGGAAGAACAACGAAAGAAGACCTCACAAGCTTGGCAACGACAGAGACAACTCGTTTTGGACTCGTTGCGTCTGCAAAAAGCAAAAAGCGGAAACCAAAAAACCCAAACAACAAAAACTGGAGGCGTGAATTCATGCAGATCTCACAAGCTGTTGGCGAATCGGCGAGGCCAGAGACGGCCTCAAGTAGGGGGAAGGCCGTTCAAAAGGCAAGGGCTCGACCAAAAGCAGAAAAATACAAGCCAACAGTGATGAATAAGTAATAGAATGCTACACCGAGAAATTGATGGTGCGAAAGAACAAATTAGACGCAGAAAGGGTAAAATGCACCGTTCAGATCCCCGCGGAGTAGGCGCACTATGCTGGAACGTTCCAACAGGGATTAGGTTCAATAGTCTCCAACAAGCACTCCCCCTAGCTGTATACACATATATTACATAGTCATACTGATGTTGTACTCGGTGATAACACATTCCGCTGGCGTCCTGGAGGGCACATGTTGCTGCCATGAAAATACCGTAGTCAATACCTGTAAGGGGGATCCGCTTGACCATCACTACCGATCCTTCACCCTACAGGCTGCCGGGTTTGACCACCGCATTAGGTACAGTGTCACGCTGCATTTTAATAGTTGAAATTTTGACGAGTGGTAAGCACATAGTTTCAGCGCGTCGCTTCACTACTGAACCGTCATACTGCCTATGCGCGCCAACTGAAGGATATGTCTTAGGCTGTGGCGATGAATTAGGTGGAATATTTCTTCGTCAATGTTTTGATCCGCCTTACAAAGGTCACCTCGCGGAGCTGCCAGGGGTTTGCACGATTGTGGGTGTCTACCCAAGAAGTCATTCGAAAACCCATGCAAAAACAAAACAACTGGGAGATGCGAGCGTTCATTAGGTGGAGCGTTTGAATATGTGGGATTGATGCAACTTCCCTGTCCACCACGCGGGCTGATGGGTTGCCATGCTATGGTTAAAACAGGACCAGCCGAACTGTGGCCTTTTAGCCACTTAGCCAACCGTATCATTACTACTTCACCTTTAGTTTGCTCTTCTACCTGAAATTTTTCTGTTTGCGCCCTCCGTGAGCATTGGAGCTTAGCCCCAATATCCGAGCTAGTTCACTGTCCCTCGTGTGCTAAACGAGGTAGCCTTGCTACGCATGATTACTCCACAACACAAAACTGCAGTGAAAAACTTAGGTGCTTGTGTTTCCACGTACTAATTTGCCATTTAGTTTTTCTAGATTTCGATTAGTAGTAGCAAAAGAAAAACGCTGAGCTGCACGCTTCCTTGGAGCAGGGCCCACTGAGCCGGTGTCTGCTTGCCGTGTCGTCATACAACGTGCGACAACACCCACCCATACTGCTAGGCGACACCTTCATCACCATATTATCAGTACATAAGCTTTCTTAGTAATTTTCAGGTCCTTACATGCTCCGCTTTGTAGGCCGCGGCAGTTCGCTGACACCCTGCCAGCACAGCGTTTCCCTCAGGCACCGGTTGTGCATATCCCCGCAGCTGTGACTGAGGCCTTCACGAGTCTGTTGTATCTGGCCTTCAGCTTCTCGTATGCCTGATAGTGTACATTTGTTGGTCAGGTCCTTCTTTTGTAAAATTATCAACAGGGACGGCATGAGTATGCTGCTTCTTAGCGTCGATTGATCATCACCTGCAGCTCCTAAACGCTGGAAAGGCAACCGGCATACCAAACGATGAGGACGCGGGTGTCTAAGTTGTAGTGTGTGCTCAAGGGTACCACACTGATCTCTCAAGGTCTATTGACATCGGCACGGTTGGCAGGGCATCCACGAAATCCCGCAAATGAACCCCCCGTCGACCACAGTGCAACGGCACCTAAAGGGCACCCCACCAGTAGCAAAACCACCACTGCTCTGCCTTTTCAGAGACTCTGTGGGGGAACTAACCAGTGAGAGGTGCTGGTCTCAGGTTGGCTAGAACAGCAGGTCGCCAGATACAGAGCAGATAATGCGCCTCCTGTAGAATCGAAAATGAGTACTCTCGTGGTGATGGTGGGCGGGTGTGGCAATTATCTTGGAAGCGAGGTGTTTGCTGCAATCCATACTGAGCTGCGGAGAGCTGTATCCGAAGGAGACAACACCACTGCCGACTCTTTGCGTCGGCGATTCTTCACCGGTGACTCGATGGCAGCGTGCGGGGACTTTCTGAAGGCCAGAAGCCTCCTTATAGACATGGAAGCTAAGACAGTTCAAAATTGTCTCCTTCGTCAGCCCTTGCCAATTAACGGCGAGCGTAGGGGAAAATGCTCCGCGGGGAGAGGCATTCCCAAGCTCAACACAGGCTTAACAGACCCAGGATGGTATTGGGACCCAAAATTTGCATACTGGAAGCAAGGAGGCTGCGGGAACAACTGGGCACTTGGCCACGAATTTCAGGGTCCCTCAAACCGTGAAAGCATGGAGCATCTGCTCCTCAGCCTTGCCGAGGAAGGGGACAGCGTCAGCTCCATTATGGTGCTCCACTCGCTGGCAGGTGGGCGGCAGAAGAGCCTGTAGCCTTTTTCAAACGGCGCAGCTGCAGTCAGTATTAAGCCCTGTCTATGATGACTGTAGGCGCTAAATGCTAGCGTGCTACGCTTCAAGCTGCGGGGCTGTCGCTTGTCACTCTCTTCGATTGGCAGCCCGCCGCTGCTGCCCTGCCCGCTTATGTCGTGTACCCTGAACTTAGGTGGGACGGGTTCGGGGGTTGGTTCGTACCTAACGGAGTTATGCGCTGACTTGCTGCCGGCGAGCTGCATCGCTAGCTGCTGCGTATGGCCCTTCGACGCTGAGGTCTCAACCCAAGCCTTCAACACCGTTCTTTCGCTTGCTTCACTTCAAACAAACAGGTACTTTGTGCCTGCCTTGTGGGCTTGTCCCACCATGTAGGCCTGTTATGAGCAAAGGGGCTACTGCTTCTTTTCTTTATCCTGTAGCGTGTCGCTGTTGCTTAGGCTGTGCCGCGCAAGGTGGGCACTGTGGTGCTTGAGGCTCTCAGCGACGGTATCTTCATTTTTGAAAACTCCCGATGCGCCAAGATCCTGCAAAGACACGCAATGTCGAGCAACACACGTACGGCAGCGGGTCTCTCTGAAATAAATCGCTGCATCGCACGTGATCTTGTGGGTTGTTGCATCCTTCCATCCTACCCGTGGGTCCCTCGAAGCAAGAACCCTTCACCGGGTTCATCTAGGCAGTCAAACGGGCCCAGCGGTCCACAGCAGGTTCCTTCACCTGCTGGTCGAGGAGTGTCCGAACGCGATGCAGGTGTGGCACTCCGCTGCACCATGCGAGACGTGCTGATGGCAGCAGCTCCGCATCCAGCCTTCAAACTGCTGACGTGTCGGTACCTTCCCCAGGGCTCTCTGGCGGAGCAGAATGGAGTCCGTTTTGCCCCATACACATGCACATCCTTGCTTCACCGGCTGGAGCGCATGTTCACCAGAGCAGATACTTTGGACCTACTTGCCCCTCCTAGCCCCTCAACACCCTCCAGTCACCGACAAGCCTTCTATGCGGCCACACAACAGAAGAGCAGAGATACACCACAGCATGGAACCGGAAGGGTTGGCACTCACCCAAACGTTGCTGTTGGGGCGCAAATCTGCATGAGGGGGCCAGTAGTCCGCTCCATCGAAGGGGACCCTACCAGCGCCTGCAAAATTGCCTTGTGGCCTTACGCATTGAGCTCCGTTCAGGTGAGGGAGCTACCCCAAGTAAGCCTTACAAATTAGCTGCCTTCACCTTGTTTACACGTGTGCCGAAACTTGCTCGTTGACGCAGATCTCTGCACATGCATTTGCTGCCTACGGCGAGTCTTGCAGTATGGGTGTGACTACAAGCTGCCGCACACCCTTGCCAGCTCTACAGAGGTGAGAGACCATCTCAAGACAGGAATAAAATTACTCTAGCCTAAGCCCTTTGGGTTCTGTGCGATTGTGGTGAGCTGCAGTAGCGGCTGTGCCTGTTGGGGGCGGGTTGCGGGCGCAGGACTTTGCAATTGGGCATGGACATGCTGCACGCTAAGGCCTTCGTGCATCACTACGAGAGATTTGGCGTGGGGTCGGAGGAGATCCAGAATGCCCTGGAACAGCTGCAAGAAACTGCAAACGCTTACTTAACCCTCCGTCATAATTGACGTCCCGCGCCTTTCCGTTTCTAACTCTGGGCGCCGTCGCCTATGAAGGCGGCACCAAGGGGAGCCTGTGGCTACAGTTTATTTATAGGATAGGTGGCGGCTGGCACACATGTCAAGGGAACCCATGCATGCCTGTCTTTGTAGCCAACATAGCTGTCAAGGGGAAACACAAAGCGCCTGTGTAGGAACGCCTACCCTAGGAGCACACTTATTTGACAATTGTTGAACCATGATGCAATCCTGTAACTAATTACTATCGAGTGGTAGCACCCTCTAGGGAGAGGTATGAACTTCACAATTTGCCGCGCAAGTTGCATTTCCAGGCACACTGGTCTTCGGGCAAACATTTTAAAGGCTCATTCTCGTGCCTTTTCAAATCGCTGCAGTCAGGGAAGTGCTTGGGTGAGGCGCCATTCAAGGGAGTGCTTGGAAAGTCTGCTATGCCATCTGACGAACAGGAAGGAAGTGCAACAGTCTGTTACACAGGGCAGTAGGCAACAGAGCGAACCATCTACTTTGGTAAGTGGCGAAGCATAATAACAAGCATATCTCGCGAGCGCCGCATGATACGGAGTTGCTTAGCCTTGTCAGTCCAGGCCCTGCCTCCACTGAGGAAGCAGTTAAGTGCAACTCTGCAACACGAAACGATGCTGCGTCAGCTAGGGCTGCGTATTTGGCTGTGTTCAAGCTTTTACGATAGACAGTTCCTGACGCGGAGCAGCTGGCCACTTAGGCAGCCAGAGACAAAGTGCTGTCTAGGGCTGATGCTCGGGCTACAGTGTTGCTGCCTTGACGAGGTGCGCTTTGCAACGCGCTGCCTGCCTAACAATTATGGCCCGGTGTCGCTGCAGAGCAGCGTTGTACCCGAAGGGCTAGCAAGACTCTGTTCCCCCCGGCAACATGAATATGATACCCAAAAAGAATAGACAGAAAAGAGAAGAAGCGTTCGTTGTTCTTCAGATTCAGAAAAGACGCCATAGAGTTCAATGAAATCACGACTCCCCGCTGCAAGTTGGAGCAGCCAAGCATGAAAGTATAATCGACTCAAGGGGATTCTTCGCACTTCCCTGGAGGGCAGCACATGCGTCAGTGTAATGTTTCTACATACCAATGGCTGTGTTGTTGCTATGGAGCGTCTGAGCTTTCGCTGTGGTTGCTCTTCCTGCACACATCCAGGGTGCAAAGCACAGCACAGGGAACTCTTTCAGGCCTTCAGCGTCCTGCCGCCTCTGTTCTTTGCCCCTTCCGGTGTAGTGTCTTAGATTAACGGTAGACAACGGGTGGCCACGTAGTACTATCCACAATACTTTTCCCATAGCCGTTGCAGGAGCTGTCGTCCCCCTAGGAGTGGCAGTCTGGACGTCATAATAGTATTACCAATAACATCCACGACGAGCTTACTTTAACGCTACACAGCATGCATATTTATCAGCCCATACTGTGCAGCACTCACGCCTTCTTGCGACTGCTGTGGGGAGAGCTACTTCGGTCACGGTTCTTCCCCGTTTTTCGCTTGGCCGCCTCTTCTGTGGTCTTATGCTCCTGCAGCATAGAAGGGTAAATTAACCTGAGCTGCCCCAGTTAGTGAAGCTCCGGATGAAGTGTCGGCTACCTGCTGTCATCCTACCATCCCCTGTAGACGGCCTCCGGCTCTGGAACTGCTACTGCATGCTGCCTGCCAGTGGTGTATGCTAGGGGTTTCGAAGACAAACGGAAAAGCCAGTGGTCAAATATCTTACCTCAAGAAGCTTTTGCCTGAGGGCGTCGCAGCGGCTGGCGATTTCATCCTTAGAGACACCTGGAAAGCATAAAACCCAAAATACCGCTTCTCATGCAGCCCAGCGCGTCTGCGTCGACTTCTGCCTCGTCGCCTTGACTGTTGGGCAATTACAGTGGCTAGGCGTCTGGCGGGGTAGCTATTAGGCTTGCTAGGTAATGGGCTGGGAAACTGATGGGCGAACCTGCACTGCAGACTCACCCTGATCCTCAAGCTGAACCTGCAGCTCGGTGACCTTCAGCTCTATGGCCCGCATCCGCTCTCTGTCAGACTCCCGGGCCTCTTGAGACTCCGTTGCTGCTGCTGCTGCGGTTACTGCTGATGCTGCTGCACCTTCGTCGTCCTCCTCCTGCTGCTGCTGTGGTTGCTCCTCTTCTCTCTCAAAGACAAAAATGTCTGACGCCTCGCTTGCCACGTCGTCTTGGTTCTGCTCCTCGTCGCCATGCTGCTTCGTGCCGCCCTCCTGCGTACCGGTAGACCCATCCGGGGCTTCAATGACTGGCGTCACCTCCTGTGGGATCGCTGCAGCAGCAGCGGCTGCTTGACGCTCTGCTGCGGCAGCTGCCTGAGCCTCCAGAAGCACGTCTAGCGGTACCTCTGCTGCCTGAAACACGGCCACAACGAAGAAATGAAGACGAGCAAGCTGTGCGGCAAGTTGAATAGCACCGGCAGCAGGGCCTGTGCAAGTAGAAACCAGAACAGCAATACCTCTTGTTTTAGTTTCCAGTATAGCTCCTGCCGCGCCAGCTGCAGGAGCTGCTTCTGTCGTCTTTCGCTGCTGCTGCTGCTGCTGCTGCGGGAAGGTAACACTCCCAGTCCCCGCTGCTGGCAGAGCCTGTCTAACTGGTATCGGTCGAGCAGCAACCACTCCTGCAGAAGCAAAGCCAGGAAAAAACACCATATAGCTCCCTGTGTAACTACTTGTCAGCAAGCGGCATAAGCCCACAGTCCCCCGGATTAAATGCCAGCGGATGTGACGCCCCGGCAGGAAAAAACAACATATAGCTCCCCGTGTAACTACTTGTCAGCAAGCGGCATAGGCCCCCATCCCCTCGGATGCCAGTGGATGTGACGCCCCAGTAGGAGCAAACGCGACAGCAGCACCACAATGAACCTTCCTACCATTGCAGAAGGTCGCAACCAAAGGGGGAATTGCGCGATGAGGGGCCTGAGGTTCTCCGCCAAAGGCTCTCCATCCAGTTGAGGGTCTGCAAGTTCTAATGCAGCAGCCTCACACTTTGCTGCTGCTGCTGCGGCTGCTTCGGGGTCCAGAATTGTTGCTGTAATGTCGCGGCCGCAGAGTGTGGCCTCGATGCCCTGAAGCCGTGAAGCACAACAAGAAACGGGTATCGATGAGCGTTAGCACAGTGGCAAAGGGAGCCACATCAGCAACATAAAAATACGATGTGTCGAGGGATGACGGAAAACGAAACCAGTATCTCAAGCAGGAAGCGAACAGCAGTCTGACCCTAAGAAACGCAGGTGGATATACACCCCAGGCCTCCCACAACTTCGTCATCTTGTAGAGAGCCCTCTCGACTCCTTGCCACTGCTCTTGTTGGGTCCGCGGACTAGCCCCCCCAACACCAACGCCCAAACGGAGGTCCTCCAGCACTAAGGCAATAAGTCAAACGCAGCAACAGCTAGAGAAGCAGCAGCGTCTTCTGCACAGGGGCTACTGTTGGTGCCGTGTACTGCATTGCAAATGCAGCTTATTGTGCCCATTCCGCAAGGTGCTTAACTAGTCACATCGAAAGGCAAAAGTACACGGTGAAACAAACGAGTACCTTTGCTCCAGCGATCCGCAATGAATGGCAAGTGCTTCTCGAGGTGATGTCTGTAGGTCCAGGCGTGCGCCGTCTGTGCACTGGAATTTGCCAGCAAATCCGACAAGAGGTACATCCGAGCCAACCGCATTGTCAGGGCAGTGTCCGGTAGCGTCAACGACTCCGTCAAGCAGTTGCAGACTTCCGCGCTGCTGTTCCCGTGGGACATGCAGAAGGACATCGCCGCGCATATCGACGCCCTGCGCCAGAGCACAAACACACAGCCCTGCGTCCTCTCCCATCTGTTGCTCCGCGATGCGCCACTCCCCCAGGAAACCAGTTTCGCTGTGATTAGTACCTTGCAGAGTGGGCACAATAAGCCACAATCTCACGACAGAAACTGCTAAGCAATACACTTTCCTTTGTTGCAAGGCCAGGTGCAGCAGACAAACCAAATTTCAGGCAAGCGCCGCACCCCTTCACAGAACCCTACCTATCCCGAGTTATGTTGCGTAGCAACTCCTCCAGTTCCTCTCGGTCCGCTGCACTCAGACGTTCACCCCCGCGAGCAGCTGCACGGCTGCGCAAAGCAGACTCACAAAACCCATTCAAATGCCATTCACAGTGCCGCAAACTAGTGCGTAAGCAGCAGCAAGAGCAATATCGAAAGAGCAGCGGCACATGCTCCAGTGAATCCCAAAATGGGGCCTGCTAAAAGTAGCCAACAAGTAGGGCAATGAAACAAAGATAGCACGAGAAGATGGCCAACAATAGGTGGCAGCAAAAGCTCCTGTATATAGCACCAACAGCAACAATAGCAACAGCACCAGCACCGTGGTGCTGTGGCTCACAGGCTCCGTTCTTCTGCTGCCTCTGCCTTTTTCTTAGCCCTAAGCCACAAACAAATGCCACAGCACGCTGATACTAAACATCCATTCTAGGGTGGTTGCTGTGGCACGAGCTGCTGCTTCGCAGTGGTCACCGTTGCCGTACTGCCCGTCGCAGCAGCAGGAATAGCATATGAATGCCTTACGGTTGCTGAAAGTATTTCTCAGGCGGAGGTGCCCACCGCCTGCCCCCCGAGTAGATGTAGAAAGGCTCTAGGCGCCAGGCCTTCAAAGTGTCTCCCTGCCCGAATGCGTACACTCGCCACCTGAGGGCGTAACCCGCGCAACCAGAAGACGGCAAGGAGTCAATAGCCACAGGTTGCGAGAGTTAAAAGCGCAAGAACAAACGTGCAGAGACATGCTGTGTGCATGACGTAGAGAAGGAACGTTCGTCGCTTGCAGGGAGGCAGCAATGTTCGTCCAGCGCATCCATCTCTCGCACGCATGCATCCGCCTGCGTAGGACTGGGGGAATAAATGAAAAGAAACCCACGGGAGACCTCTAATGCTGCTACGGAAGGGACGGTATGATGCACGAACCTGTAGTAAATGTTGTCTGGCGAATCCTTTTCATAGATGAAGCTGAGACGGCCTACATATATACACACCCATACATACATACATACGTACATACATACATGCATACATACATACATACATACATACACACATACATGCATACATACATACATACATACATACATACATGCATACATACATGCATACATACATACATACATGCATACATACATACATACATACATACATACATACATACATACATACATACATACATACGTACATACATACATACATGCATACATACACACATACAGAGCTCCACACCCACATTTTAACCCTTAGAAGCGTAGGCCTAGAAACCGCATGGCTCAACAGTAGGAACCTTATTTCACGATAGGCACAAAACACATTAATCGCTAAGCCACACAACCTCAACCCCACCGCTGTCTGGAGGGAACTTCTCCATCACTTGCTGCTCAAATACATGCCCTTCCTGCAGCACACCCCAAGAGAAACAACGGCACCGGTCCTTCCAGCCCGCTTGGTGCAGAAGTGGTGAAATTGTATAAATGAGCAGAGAAAGAGGCAGTGCAGACTTAGCAGCAGTGGTGGAACCAGCACCAACAGAGCAGCAGCAGCGGACCTCTGCTACGTATTTCGCCAACAAGTCAATCATCATCTTGACTTTGCGGTCCTTAGGCACTTGCACCTCCACCATCTCCGCCTCCTGTGAGCACAAAGAAAACGTTTGCATTTCCTGTTATGGGCGGAAAGAAGCTGTAAGGAACCAACGACACATACAGTCCCCACACAGCTGCAGCGCATATATGCGCACGCGAAAATTTGATACGTACACACATATGCGCAAATGCATGCATGCAAGGAGGCATGCAAGCACGCATGCACACAGCGTGGCTCAGAACATACGGGAGGAGGGGGAGGAGTGGGAGTCGCTGCTGGGGCCTCCGCGGTGAAGTTCGTTTGGGGAGGTGGAGAGAAGCCCGCAGATGGGAATGGAGAATCCGCTGAGATCCACAGTGACAGGATGAGCAAAAATGCTCCATGCATACAGCTGACTAGAGTGGGGGTAGAAAAACGGCTAAAAAACCCCCAACCCTAAGCTGTTAACACTACTTCAAGCCGTTGCTCACAGAATCCGCTGCTCATGGCAGCAGGAGTGGCGCCAAAAGAAGGTCGTAGGGCCTTTCCCCACCTGCAAACACAACACAGGAGCTCTACAGGCTCGGTGATAGCCCCAAATTCTAATCCATGAAGGGAAGCCTCAAAACTCGCTGACCGAAACTGTAGGAATCAAGCGAACGCAAGGCAACACAAACCCCAACCTCTAAATCCCGCCTGCCTACCCAATGCGGATCACCATTCCATAGAAAGACTTCCCGTCTAGGCTATTCTTTGCAGATTCTGCGGATTCCACACAGCAATGGAAGGTGCGACAGATTTAGTTAGGAGGACCAACAAGCATTCACACAAATGCATGCGACCGCACACAGAGTTGCTGTCTTCAAATAGTTCTAACAGGCATGCATAGAAGTTTAGCGTGCCAAAACCTGAAGGGTGCACGCGCCCTCAGGATCATGCCACTGGAGAAGCTACATTGTGTTCTTCGATATTCGGGATTGCACTCATGCCGCCGGGGTTTCGGGATTGGATATATAGTTCACCAGCTTGAGGCCTGGTTTCGAAGGAAACAAAACCGCAATTCCTGTTCCGGCGTTTCTCTTCTTCTGTTCGTGGGTACATAATCTTAACGCTGGTAATGACCCCGTGCTTCCCGAATTGCTGGCAGAGAAACTCCTCCGTTATCTGCATGCAAGCATGCACGTACACAAACCAGATGGCTATAGCTCATACAGAAGGATTCACGGACAGAGAGACCCTATAACCGAAGTCCGAATACACGCCGGAAGGTAAAGGCAAGCACACGGCCTCCTCCACCATCCCCTCGCACCACAAGCCCTCAGCCACAACCATTTCGACGCCCGCAGTAACCTCCACATCTGCTTGTAAAATGCCTGAGCAAAATGCATATCTTCTCTAGCCTCTTGGCTCTCTTAAGGCTCTACAATCTCTGCATTGTACACATACCTCAGGTGACAAATTTCCCAGATACAAATTCGTTGAGCTCTCCTTCTCCAAATCGATGGGGGGGGCCCCACGGGGCCTTGTCGCGTTCTGCAGCCGCAAACGCCAAACATTCACCCCCAAATCTTGCGCATGTAACGGAAGCATATATAGCTTTACATTCTGGCACCAACTCTTACAGTCCTAAGCCTAATGCAATCAACCGATGCCCCCGTGAAAGCGAGTCAGCTGCAACAGCATCAGTAACATCATACGCAACAATAGGACAGACAGTGCCGCTGGCTTGTAAGTTACCTCCAGTGCCGCTATTTGGAAGCGAAGAGCGCATCGTTCTTCCTCTGAGCAGGGAAATCAAACAATGCGCACAATTTCAGCAGCAGCAGCAATCGCCAGGCAAATGCAGCAGCAACAGTAGCAGCAACAACCGCTCACCTGTGCGGGATAGGTTTAGCCTCTCGTAGAGTCGCCGCTTCTGGCCTTGCAACTCTTGACGCTTTTTAATCTCTGATGAAAACGCACAATCAAACCTTTATCCAGAAAGTCCCAACCGTTCAGCAGACGGGTACGTGCAACGTCGTGGACCCCAGAACTACAGTCTACACGGCAAGCCCTGGACCCCTATATCCTACACCATAAAACTTCGACTCTGAACACCACAGGCCTTAAATCCTGACCTTCGAGAAAAGAGTCTATCTCCCGCTTCTGTCCAGGACGGGCTGGCATGCGCTTGGGGGCTGGGGACTGGGCGCTGCTGCCGCTGCCTGCCGCAGCAGCTGCTGCAGCAGCGGCAGCAGCCGCTGCAGCTGCCGCCTCAGCCGACTTAGGGGCGCTACTCGGAACCCACAACGAACCCTAATTCCAGAGAAGGAGCAGAACCAGCAGAGGTGCGCCGCTTAAGGACACGTGTCACTGGCCCCTCGAGCCCACCCCCGTATGATGATTGTCACCCAGAAACATCCATACGCAGCCGAGACCAAAGAATGTCACCATACACTCTTAACCATAGGCGCAAGCACTAAAGCCTACCTTTTTACTGTCTAGGGCAATCTGGCCCGAGCCCGCATTCATCACACCACCTATGAACAGAGAGCGTCAAACCCCGAACAATACCAAAGGAACCCTAAGCCCCAAGCCACCTAAGCCACTACCCGCATACCCAACCTCCTAAACCCTAACTGGCCACCCATAAACACTGAAGACGAGGCCCTCCGCCAGCAGCCGGCAAACCCACACCCAACCCTCTAACGCCCCAAAACCCAGCAAGCAGTTGCGTAAGCCACCTCTAATAAAAGTCTTGTCCGCAGAAGGGTCTTCTGGTTGGAATGTCTTCAGGAACTCCTGATATACACGAGCCGTCTCGGGCTCTCCTGCACCCTGCGAGCCAAACCAACAACGGGGCCAGCAAGCCTTTGCAGAAGTCGGACCAAATCCATGCGGCCGCTTACATCCGTAGATCCCGCTATCACCCGTACATACACCTAAAACGAAAACAGTTCCTTACCCCTCTGCGTCCGCCCCTACGATCCGACATCTTGGCTTCTGCTACTGCTGTGACTACTGCTGTTGTGGTGGGCCATTAGCCCTCAACACGAAGCAGGGCGCCGCGGCCAACGGACGCAGAGAGCCCCACTCCCGCTCGTTCTTGCGTTGTCCACACAGACAGCGCAAAAATAACAGTGGCATCCAGAAGGTGCTCTTCGCTAAGGACTCCGGTGCTGCTGCTGCCACTGCCCCTGCTGCTATTGCGCATGCCGTCGGTGTTGCTGCTGCGGCTGCTGCCGCCGCTCGCGCACACGGTGAACGACGGGATCGTGTGCGGGTGCCAAATGCAAAGTTAAAATTTAACGAAAACAACAGAGGGAAACAAAGGACGCTCTGGGGCCGCACTTTTGGGCCAGAGGAAGATCAGAAGGGTTTGGGGCCCCCCGAGAGCCCAGATGGATGCCTTGTGGTTGGGCTGGTAGATACCCTCTCGCTTGAAAGCACTTAAGAAAACGGATGAAAAGGCACAATGCATCCAAGAACAGAACCGCTCCACAAAGGCAGCCCCGCGGGTGCTCTGCATGCTCTGAACTGGCCTCGCAGCTCAGCCCCAGGCGCAGGGCCCTAAAAGGCAATATTCTACACCGACACTTTGTGACACTGTGTCCGTTCTTCCCCCCTTTTGTTGCAAAGACGTGTCTTTTGAGCTTCCAGTAACCCTGAGCTTAGCTGTATGTTCAGCAAAAATGGCATGGAGGGCCTGCGGCATTAGCTACATTCGATACACCGCCGAGATGGCGGAGCTACTCAGAAAGTCAGACTGTCCTCCCCCCTTACCAATCCTCCCCAGTCTATCCCACACACAAGTTGTCAAAGGCAATGGAGTCCCCTTGGGGGGCTGATAGCGTCTGAGTGCACTCGTGAGAGATACTGGGGCACTGGCGACAGTGTCGTGCATCTGGGGCCCCTTGGTGTCCCCGATGCTAAGGATCTGCAGACCTTGTGTGGCCTGCAGTTTTGGTTCCAAGGACAGCAGCTTATACCTGGGTGTCTCTGTCAGGAGCTAGCTGGGGAAGTGCGACCGGAAGAGCTGGTGCCGCAGTTAGCTACGGAAGGCTCGGATGGTCCAGCGCTAAACACGGATATAAAGATTTCCCGGCTGCGTTGGGGTTTAGGGTTCGAGCTAAGGTTTGTTGGGCTGCGCTTGCGCTTTTACCTTCAGGTGTGTCAAAGAACCCTACAGGACTCAGCTTCAAAACAAGAACCAAATACACTTCAAGGAGGCGATCTACAAGCAGGGCACTGTTGTCTCGAGGCGTGAGGAGCGGCTCCCCAGCTAGATGGGGAGTTAAGTAGTCGCCGACGAGCTATCCACGAGACGTGTAGAAAAATTACTTTCATTTTCGCCTTCATGCACCCTGAGCCGTGGGGCTGCATGCAGGGTTGGAGTCTGTGGACCTCCTGTCTTGTTCGTCTGATCAGCTAGGGTTCAAGGTTTTTGATTGCGACTGTCTGTCCCTCTCCTGCTGCAGAGACTTACGACAAGCTCAAGGCAGCCTTTGAAGCATGCGAACAAACTGCCCAAAAGACAGGGGAATAACCGGGAGCCGACTAGAACCCCAAACGTCTAGAAGAGATGAGCACTTCTGCCGAATGGGGCTGCAGAACCCCAGCCCTATAAATACGTCGTATGCCCAACCTGCAACGCCTGTCTAAAGAAGGGCAGGGAAAGGCATCGGGCCGCGAGACAGTCACTGCAGCTCCACCCACGAACTGCAAACGCAGCGGCAGTTCTTCCTTGCTGCTGCAGCAGGAGTACTCCCCAGCCGCGGCAGAATTAGGCTGCAGCAGGTGAACTCTACTGCACTAGGAGCAGCAGTTTGCTGCGTGCATTGAGAGCCACGTGGTTCCATGGAAAAACCAGAAGTCCCCGGAGGGTCGGGGGCCGACGCGGTTTTTGTGTTAAAAAGGCCTCGCTACTTGGTGCGATGCAAAAAGCCTTCTCAGCAAGAAGTGCTGCAGGGTCCAGTTTGTGTTGCGACAACGCTGCACAGCAGCCGCTGCTGGAGCATCAAGACAGGGTCATGCTTTCTTTGTACCACGCCCTTTCTTCTGCTGGTGCTTTTCCCAGTAGTCACTGAAGGCCTTTAAATCTTTGCCGCTTTTCTTCACGGACGCAAGGCCCGGAATAGCCCGTAGCAAGGTGGTACGTATACATGCCAAGTCTCCTTGCTGCTCTGGCTGCAGCATTAGTGACTGCTGCGGAAGCAGCAGCTGCTGTTGCTGCTTGTGCAGTAGCTGCTGCTGCTGTCGTTGCTGCTGCTGTTGTGAGGTCAACACGTCCTCAGGCGGAACCCAAATGCAACGCAAATGCTGTCTAGGCTGCAGCAGTAGCAGGAGCAAGTGGCGCAGAGGGCTGTTAACCTGACACCGCAAAGCCAAGACCCGAAAAGCTGATCCACACATGGGCGGGCATCTTCTAAGGTAGATCCGAAGCAGCCAAGCGTTCCAAGATGGCATCATCAAGTGGCAGCGTCTGCAACCTTTGCAACAGAAGCGGTTGCAGTAGCAGCAGTAGGAGCTAAGGGTACAGCAAGAACGGCAGGGGCACCTCTAACGGTAGTATGAGCAGCGCAAGCAGCAGCAACAGTGAAGGCACTTGATACCGTATGAGGCGCAGTGTACGTCGGTCGTCTCCATCCCCTCTGGGTTCTTGCTGCTGGCTGCGTTCCGCCTTGCTCATTGGTGTACATACATCCCAGCAACGCAACTCGGCCCTTAAGTCTGTCGAAAGCTGCAGCGTCTAAACTTTTTGCATCCCACTGCAACAAGCAGCTGCCGTTGCTTTTCTGACCCTCTGGAAAGAGCACGAGGGGGGGAATGAAGCTCCTGCTGCCCTCAAGAGACACGAGAAGAGCAGACAGAGAAGGGAACTGTCCCCGACCCGGGAGAAGCTGCAGCAGCACTCACACGCACACAATGGCAGCAGTAGCTAGGGCAACCGTAGCAGCGGTAGCCTCAACAAGTGCAGCCGTAGCAGTAGCCGCTGCAGCGGCTGCAGCGACAGCACCATCGGCTGCAGCAGCACCCGCAGCAAGTGGTGCCCGCAGCTCCCCGCAGCGAAAACGGCGCTAACGCTCAGCAGCGACATGCAAGACAGCAGCCATAATGTGGCAGCACAAGCATCTGACTACAGCAACAGAAGATTGACACCTCAAAAGAGAGCGAGTACTTGATGGCCCCCCAGAAGGACAAGACCGAGAGGGAGCCGTCCTTATGCAGCCCCAAGAAAAAGGGGCAGAGCCGCATTTGGAGATACAGGACTTCGACGAAGCACGTGAAATTTGAGAGACAAAGCACAGCTCTTGATGGGCCCCTTGAGAGGCCTGACGGGGCCCGTTGTGCCTCCTCAGCCAGGGGCCCTCGAGACACGAGCGACAGAAAGGAAGACCATGGGCTCCCACCCTTCGGTTCTGAAGGGCACAGTTGCAGGCGGCGGTAATCTGCAGCAGCAACATCCAGGTGTAGAAGTAACTTCGGGCTCAGCGGGGGGTCGAAGTCAAAGGGAAACGAGGACGTGAACAGACCATGGCAAATCAAAGATGCAAAGACACCAAGACAGCCAAGGGGAGACGCAGGCAAGAAGATACACAATAAGACATAAAGGTACAAAGAAAGCAAGAAACATTCTGGAAGAAGCACCGACAAATGCAGCAGAAGACAGCCGGAAACCAGGAGGACAAGGCAGTAGGGCCCTGCATTCACTGCGCAATAGAACAATCACTTGCCTGCTCTCTCCTCATTTATCCACTGAAATCCAATTGCAAACAGCGCAAGACGCAAAGATACTTGCAGCAGGGCTCGTTTTGCCATCCAGTGTACATACGGCAAGACCCGCAGTGGCAACAGCAGCAGCAGCAACGGTCCTGCCAGTATTAAAGACAACCCTAGAAGCAGTGCCCGAAGCAAAGCTAGCACTAAGAACAAAGGATACAGCAGCAATGTGCAGATGGAGATAAGAAACGACAGAATGCGCGAACTGTTGTAGGCGGCCCGCAGCTGCTGCTGGCTGTAGTACGTGGGCACAAAGGGCTGACAGCCCGTCCCCTCATCTGAAAACGTTCTGTACTTCTCCATCCCACCTCTTACGCGGCGATGTCACTGCCGCTGCTCTCTCTTCGCCTGGGTATACTGGCGGCTAGCCTTTACTGCTGCCCAGCCGCTGCCTTCCAGTGATGTAGCGCCTATCTTGCTGAGTCCGAAAACTTCAACTCCCTACTACAGGTGCTCCTGCTGCTGTCCTGTGCCAGCTAGAGAGGTGCTGCCGTCGTCTGTTACCTAGTACGGCGGGCGTATCTCGGAGGGCGCGGGGCTGTTGTTACAGCTTTGTTGTTGCTTCTGCGGTATCGGTGCAGATGCTGTTGCCTTGATGCTACTTGCTGAAAACTCGCTGCTGCACACTGCAGTGAAAGTTTCCTTGCGCCGTTCTTGCTGCTGGGCCTTGTTTGGCCCGTCGCCACAGCTTCTACCTGTCTGTAAAACGGGTCCGTCTTGCACGCTAGCCGTAGAGGCGTTCAATAGAAAAATTGTTGATTTACTCCGGAGATTCCTCAGTTGCAGCGGAAGACCTCAACGAAGCGTGTTCCACACACGCATGCAGACAGCCGTTCACGGGGCCCCAAGGGGCCCTCCGCAGGCTTGTGGGCCCCCAGGGGCCCACAAGCCTGGCCTGAGTGTCTTCTCTATTTCCTGCCCTTATTCATCCCTATATGTATTTCACTGTTGCTTCACATGGATTATAGTTATTTTTTTCAAGTTGTTCTTTAGCCGTTTGTGTTAGTGCACATCTGGCCGCTAGCGTCGGGCTGCCAGCCACAGTGCACACCACACAAAACAGCCACGGGACTTTTGACTTCGTGTAGCGGGCAACTGATTCCGTGAACTGAAGCACAGGTAATTTTAAGTATTTGAACTGAATGTGACCGTTAGAACTTGAAATTCAGAACAGTTTTACTCGGGAGTCGCAGCTCAAGACGCCGCATCCGCTGTGTGCGGTTTGCACAGACAACATAGGGGGCTGCCCCGAAGTACTTAATGAGCGATACTACTTAATTTTCTGAACGGTCAAGGGCCCTTAGTGCGCTAGCTGGCAATATGTCTGTACCCAGCAACGTCCTTGGCTCTTACTAGACAAGTTTACATACAGGCTGTTTTGTCTGCGGAGACCTGCAAGCTTCGTCTGTTTGTCTTCTAACGGCTACGCACCAGAGTGAAGTTTCTGTGTAGGGTTTTGGAAGGCGCATTTGAGTGCTGCATGAACGTCAACATGCCCCAAGGCCCCGTTTACGAGGGCTGCCAGTTGCAAGTAGAGATGCCAGCTGTAGCTCCCAGACGTACAAACACGCGTGCGTACACGCTGATACGCTGACCTTAAGCTGACCAAGATCAAAAACAGACTCTGTTGTAGAGACCTCTGCAAAGAGACCAGGAGGGCAGCGTGAGATTTGGCGTATGGGAGCTACGCACACACCGATTGGAAGCGGCCCCACCACTGGAGCAGCTTGGAGGTCCCTGAGGTAATTCATGCACTCCTCTTGCACGCATTCTTGCCGGTTGGTGCGAAGTGCATGCGCTAAAGTTGCTATGGATGAAGGGGCCCAACCCATGCCTGCATTTATGCCTCATCATCCTCTTCCGCCTCGCTTTCTGAGCCCTCCTTCTCCAATGGCTCAGGGGCTGGAGGGTTGAGCTGCAACTCCTCGAGAGGCGACAGTTGGCGTGGTTGCTGTAGCTGTTGCAGCAGCATCTCGATCTTCGGGGATATTTCTGTGGCTGTGCAGCCCTCCTAAGACACAGGGGGCACGAAGGGAAAGCTCTGTTGATGCAGCCTGCTGCGTTGTATAATAACCCTGAGACCTCTTTGCTGGATAGGACAGAAGTGCCTTAAGTGAATTGACCGCCGAAAGGTCACGTAAGCCCAAGTTTACAGGCAAAAGCAGCTGCACAGGAAGCTTGTGTCTACCTCGATTTCGAGTTCCGCAGTTTTAATTTTCCAAATCCGTGCGGCGGCGAGGAGTTCGGCAGCGGCGGTCTGCAGCGCAACGAGCGATAAACAACACAGAACAGCAGGAAGAACGTTGAGGGACCATGTTGGCTGCACTCGTACGGTCATTGCATTTTCAGCGGAAGTGGGCAGGAACGGGGGCTTAGGTGCACCAGTACAGCCCTACCGCTGAGTGCCCTGTGAGCGCTGTCGAGGGTCTCACAATCAAGATGCCTGAGGAGCAGCAGCCGGTACAGTGGTAACAACAACATGACAACCAAATACAGCTGCATTAGCCTGCAAGCTTCATATCGAATGTGGAGTGAACGAATACCCTCGTTAGCTCCAGGAATGAGGGGTCTGTAGGACACCCCAATGATATGGGTATGTTAGGCGTCCCCGGAAGAGGCCTCTTGTACTAGGGGGCCCACTCTATGGGGTCCCATGGTGGCTCTATAATGGCTCTAGCTACGGGCTAATGGAGAGCCGCAAAAATTGTACAGTTTTATTGGACAGTCTGTATGCTGTAGAGGCCAACCTTTAATGTCACAGAGCTGGCGAAGTCGCCGGATTTGAGCGTAGAGTTCCGCCTGTCTGTCAGCAGGCCACTGAGAATGAATGCGGAGAAAGAGGGAAAGGCTTTGCTGTTGCCCCTGAATATTCGGGATAATTAAACCCGAAGTGCTGGGGACCCACTTTAGGGTTTGTCAGGAGAGGCTTACTGGAGACGGAAAGCCCGCCAGCACCATACGAAGACAGGCGGGCGAAGCGGCGGGCAGTGGAAGCTGCAGAGAGGGTACCTGCTTGCAGATCGCAGATGCCCCAGTGGGCCGAATGCACCACTAAACAATACGCCCGAAAACGCCCCCAGTTGTAGACTATCGACTGGAGCATAGAGCCACTGTGGTGCGGCTTAGGGCAAGCGGTTAGGGGTTACTGTTGAGAAACCTATATATTGCCGCTCCTATTGTTGGGAAATACACAGAGAGAAGGGAGAACCCCACCAGCTCTGCGGCTCAAGACGCACAAAGAGGCAACACCAGCAGGCTCCAAACCAAAACCCATAGAGAGGCTGATATGCTGAGGCAGTTTAAGTTTAGGGTGGGGGTGAATTGTCGGTGCTGACCCAAGTGTTTCTTGCCAACGACCAAAATTTTGCTGCTTAAGCCCAGTGCAACGCCCTGTCGGACTGCCGCTGCTAGTGCCGGCTCCAGCAAGCCGTCCGCTAGGATGAATGCCGCGGGTTTTAGGAGAGCAGCAGTGATTTCTTTTGCTGCAGCTGCTGCCGCTTTAGCTTCGGCCGCTGCTACATCAGCAGGACTTGGGCCCTCATCGTCTCCGTCGCTGATGCTCGCAGGTTGGGGCGCCAAAGCAGCAGCAGCAGCCGGAGCACTTAAGTGTATGCGCACGCATCGGTCTTTGTAGATGCTTGCTATTTGATCTGAACAGATACAGAGCAACGACAACTCCATTCTGACTAAACCCTCAGAAGCCTGACCTCAACCCTGAAGCCTCAAATGTAGCAATACGAGGCAGTCGAGCACTTGGAACCACCGTGGTCTGGAACTCCTCGCATGCAGCACCATGTTCTTAGCTGGACTTCTGAGACGATAAGCGATATCTTCTTACCCCTCATCTTCTTGTCCCTCACCAGCCGTGACTCCCCTCCTTCATCATTGGCATCCTCAGCATCTGTTCCTCCGCCCTCTCCCGCTGCTGCCTCAAGTGTCTGCAGGAACAGAAGCGAAGCCCGAAAACCTAAAGCCTCCAACATTGCATGCTGCGCGATTCCCTGGATTTCATCTGCTGTCTCCTGTCGTTGCCTGTGGTTGTCGCTGTCCTTGGCTGGTCTGCATCTGTCTGCGAAGCCCTGAATGAGGAACTGCGGGACCAAGCCAGTTGTGGCAAGCTGTGGCTATTTGTGGCCTGCTCTTGTACGTTCCGGCCAAGACCTGGTTTATTCTGCACAGTGCTATGGTCGTTTTACCTCTTGAGGAGCTTCCAGGATAATGACGCGCGTCAAAGGAAGCTGCCGACTCTCAAGCTCCTCCGCCTGCAGTGCATCCAGTAAGTCCTACTTTTCAACTTCAAACCTTTATACTGCACAGTTACTGAAGTTCGCTCAGTCCCTCAAGGTGGCGCACCAACCATATTCTGCCTTGCATGCACCCTCATACCAACCGGGCCGCCGCTGCAAGATTTGCTTCTCCATCGCTTGCTGCTGCTGCAGTTGCTTACCAGTTCCACGCTATCGAGCATATCAAGTAGCAGCACCCCATGACCAATGCCTTCACGTTGAGGCCTCCTAAGGGCTCTAAGGGCTTCTGCGACAACTGCAGGAGCCCTTAGCCGTCCCTTCGCCTGTTGTATCGCCTTAAGCAATCCTCCTGCGGCCTTAACTGATGCTGCTGCATCTGTTCCGGCAGGCTCCCTCTGCCTCTGCCGTTGCTGGTTCAGGTACTGCTCTGCAGACAAATTCAACACATGAAATTCAAATCAATATTACTTGAGCGCAAACGGCAAAAAGAAGGTATCATGCCACCTTATTTTGCAACAACAGAAGCCTAGGCAGCACACTTCTGCTAATTCCGCTGCAGCTTCCTCTCCAGCTTCCGCTGCTAGTGGTACTGGGTACAGTGTTGCGGCACACCAAAGTCCGGGATGAGCTTCAACCCTAGCGTGCGGGCCATTGCCCTTCCAAGGGCAGCAGTGGCAAGCCCTTTGGGAGCAACAACTGCCGCCACCTCACACCTCAAGACGCTGCAGAAAACCCAACGAAAGGAGCGCAGGCACTCCTCTATTGCATGATCTGCATGCAACACATGCAATATATGCTGTCCCGAAGGAAGCTAAACCACAGCACCACCTCCGCGACACACACACACACACACACGAGGGAACGTGGGTTAAAGTTGAGCACAAATCGTGTACAATGGACGTTCTGGACCAGAAGAAGGTTGGTAACAACAAAAGCAGAATTATCAGCACCAACCACAGAACAAGGAACGCCTGGGGCCTCAGAGGCAATAGCTGAACGAGGAAAGAAAATGATCCTCGTTAATTACCTCGACAGCTCCTCCCGTAGTCTTTCTGGATCTTCATCGCCTACAAGAAGAATGCGTTTAGCCTTGCCCTGCAGCAGGGAAGGGTGCAGGTACAGCTTGCCAGGAGCTAGGCAGCTCAGAACACACAGTTAGCTAGCCTGTCTCGCGCATGCTAACACCATGCCGCTAGCAGGCGGGAGAGACGCTTCGCTGTGCAGGAGCAGGCAACAACGTGGTATCTGGCTAGGAGTTAGCAAACTGCTACATACAGACTATTTACTGACTAGCTAACAGCCAGCTACACTCTAGTATCAAGCAGCCAGGGCGGCTAGCTGCCTGGTGGCTAGCCGCCAACTAACTGCTGAAGATGCGCTGACGTATCCCTAGCCAGCATTGTGCCTACAGCTATTTGCATGATCGAGGTACCTCCGCTGCAAAATGCAATAGAGCGGCACTGGGAGGCTCTGCATCCACTACTCCGAGATTTGCATCTTCTTCGGGGACTTGATCGGCCGCTGCAGCCACAAACCCCGTTCCTAAAAGCAAAGCCCTCAAAACCGGGTTGGAGTCTAGAAGCGTCAGTGTCGTGGATGGTCAATTATCAAGCGGCAATCGGAGCACTCTGCTTTTCCTTCCATGCCTGCAACGTTGAGTTTGAGCAGCAACAGTGAAACGGAGCTTCTGCAGAGGGTTTATGACTTGATGTTTGAGGCTTGCCTGTGACGGGAAGCAGGTGCAATAGGCAACAGACGTTGCAATTGCTGGCCAGCCGCTGGGACGCTGCGGCGTCCAAAAGGGACGGGGGAAGCCGAACAGCTAGCAGGGGGTTTCCGCGCAGCCAGGCCAATTTGTTTATTGCGCGGGAAAGCAGCAGCCCGACCTTTAGAGGCGGAGTAGCAACCAATGCGGGCACACGGGGCAAATGTAGCAAGGAAACCAAAACACTGGCTACGGGTTTCTGCTGCAGCCACAGGGGATCGTGTTGTTGCTGCTGCTGCAATAGCGACACCATCTACTATCAACCACGAAAGGAACGTTTGCCTTACTAAAATCTTCTTTTACCTAAGCTGGTGCTACGAGATAAGCTTACGTCACTGAGACATTCGCAGCTTGCAGAAGCATCGCCACAGTAGCGGCAGCTGTTGTAGCTGTTGTCGTCCTGTTGCTCCGCTTGCTGGCGCTCCTGTTGTTTCTCTAAGGATAGAAGCGCTTCTGCATCTGCAACAACGACAGCCGGTAGCACATCTTTTGCTGCTGCGGCGGCGGCTGCAGTTGCGCTTGGTGGGCCATGCAACAGCAGCACGTGAGCATGTAGCTGCTTCGCCGCTGCTTGCTGCAGCAGCTGCTGCAGCAGTTTAGGAGGAGCAGAAAGGCCTTCGCGATGCAGTGCAGACAAGTCCGCTTTGTAAAGAAGTCCCCGGTTCTGCCACAGAGGAGGAATACAGATCATTGCTGTTACTGCTGCGGCTGCCAATATTGCACCCCGGGCTGGTACTGCAGATTTTCTACTTCTTCCAGCTTGTTCTTCCCCGCACGAAAATGCCATTTATGTGAATATGTTCAGTATGCGTGAGCATGTACACCTATACACCTACTCGCTTGTATATATACTTCCATATACATAACTAAGCGTCAATGCATCCGCATGCCTTTAAATGCTTCTATTTTACAACGGCTGGGTCCAAAATAAACAATGGAAAGCCGGTTCCCCCCTTAGTGATTTAGTCTGTGGACTATGTGAGGCAGTGGGGTGTTCATTGGTTAAAGAAATCGCAACACAGCGGGATCCAGGGTATCTCCTTGCCTCAAGCGTCTCCAGTGCCTCCACGGCCTCCGCCGCCCGCCCACCGGCTCTTCGATGCTCCAGCCCCGATATGCTGTTCACCTCGCAGGAGCCCAAGGGTAGCAGTTTGGAAAAGACGCCCGAGCAAGAAAATACCAGTGCCGTGACTCGGCACTGAAGCTGAGCCCGTAAAAGCGCGACATCAATAGCAGCAATTACAAAAGCACCAGCGGCAACAGCAACAGTTAGGGGGGCCCCTGTCAGAACTGAAGCAGACTACACAACAACGCGGGAAATGAAGTTCCCCTGCTGTACTCCACACAGGTCACAGCTTATATGAAGAACACCTGGACGACCCAAATAGCAACCCCAGAATGTAAACCCAAGCCCTAGCCCCACGCATCCCCCAACGCAGAAAATGGGAAGTAGGGGCTCGGAAATTTTCTTCCTGGATTGCCCAAAGCACCCTCGAAGCGCCCACTATGAGCCCCACAAGAGCAGTCTTCGTGCCACCTTCAGAGAAATCACTAGCCTACTATTGATCCCCCACGCTTTTAAGGCTTTTCCATGCTGCCCCATGCTCGTGGGCACTCATGAAATTGGGTCTAGCCCTGGTGAAACGCATCCCACCATTTCTTCGACGAAGTCGATTTGCAAAGTGCTTCGCGGGAAGTTCGACACCATAAAGCCCAAGAAACCTGAGAGAGCAAAAGCCAAACGCAACCCAGGACCCTGAACCGTCATTTATGGAGCTCAAAATACAGATCATCAAACCCAATTCTGTATCCCTGCATATGTTCACTTCTTAGACCTGCGATAATGGGGGGCCAGATTCGTCCTGCTTTGCCGTGCACGGGGACCGCATTAAAGCCAGTCAACAACTGGGTTTATGAGGTCAAGTGTTTAACAGTCATGATTGATAGTTGAGGGTTTAGTGGTTGAGCACGTGCCTTCCTCCTGGAGTGCCGCTATTTTGTCCAGCAAGGCAGGGCATGTCACAGCAGCTGGGAGGGGAGCATAAGAGTTCTTGGACTTAGCAGCAGCGACGGCAGCAGGATTACCCCTTGTGTGGGTAGCAACGGTTGCTGCTCTAGCAAGTTTGTCCATGTCGATGTGGGCCAGCCCGAAGCAGCAGCACAGACGCTGCAGCAGAGCCTCCAGCGGCAGCCCAGGATCAGCAAAAACGAACACCACGGAAGGCCGCAGAGCCGCAGTAATAGCAGCAGAGCTGTCTGCAGGAGTGCAGTGGTTGATTAGCTGCGCAGTGTCACAACAAACCCTAGACTGCATACCCGGAACCCTAAACGTGGTTTTGACCTGAGGACAGCGAACTTATACGTTGCTGCCTAACTAATTAGTAGAGGGGTAAATAACTGGCAGGAGGACGTAAACAACTGTGCTGTTTAGGTGCAACAAGTCCCTACTCGGCCTGTGGCCTTTGCACACGTGAGCGCTGCAGAGGCGGCTGCGCCGGATATGGAGATTCCTGCAGAGAACATAGCAGCTTGAAGACCTGCTGCTGTTGCTGCTGTTGATGCTGTTGCTGCTGTAGTTATTCGACGCATACAGGGTCGCACCTTCAGGAATTACAGTTAAGGGCTGCACTTCGGGCAGTGCTGCAGTCAACAGATCCCAATGTGAACTCTCCAGTTGTTGCTCTACTGACAGCAGAATGGCGCTGGTTCTGCTGGTGGTAGAGTTGCTACAGTTGCTTTTGCACTGGGACAGTCTAGATTGCAGCAGACAGCGCAAAGCCCTGGTTGGTTCCTCGGTTGTCGCAGCCTCCCGTAGCATCTCAGCTGTATGCACTCCGCAGAATCCCAAACAAATAAGTGTCAGCTGAGCAACACTTCCTCCGTGAAGCGAGCCTGCTTTACTTGTCAGCTACTTCCTAAGAAACTGCATCCAACTGGAAGCGCACCCGCGGATAGGATGGGCATTATAGGCGTTGCGGGCTGCTGCTGTTGTTGTTGCTGCAGCTGCAGTTGCTCCTCATTGCCCACGAACAAAACCACACGGACTCCCTTAGCGCCGTTCTCTGGCCGGACTCTTCGCCTGACCGGGTATGCATTCTGCAGCTTTTGTGTGTTGTGCTGCTGCTGTTGCTGCTGTTCCAGAGCTGCTGCAGCCCTTCCATCCTCCCCAGGACGTACCCCTAAGCAGTTTGACAGCAGGAACGGCAGGGGCAATCGCCGAGAAAGAGAGTGCAGAAACTGTTTTCTGTGGACAGAACTTTCGAAGCAACTTTCCTTTCCGCAAACCACCCCCGGCAAATAAAACTCTACGACGAAAGTCCTTGAAACAAAGCCCTATGCCGATCTCAGCGCTTACTACTGGCTAGCATAGATGAGGCAGCAACTGCTTGCTTTGACTGTTTGTCTCTCTCGACTTCTTCGGCTAACCACTTCCCTATCCAGGAGACTGCCTCCAGACCTTCCGGACGGGGGATCTGTTTGCATAGGCACTTCAGGCACCTGAATCAAAAGGAAAAGGTAAACGAAATGTCAGCGGCGATAAGGAAGGCTGGCAGATGCAAGCTACACCACCAGGCGTGACGAAACTTTCAACACGAAAGGTAAAACCAGCGGGCACAGCTTGTTCAAGCCAGCAGCTGCTGCCCAAACGCACTTAAGAAGCAAAGATTCGAGTGTCTGTTGCCCTTCTCGGATGTCGCGGCAGCCTTCCAGGCTGCACGTAAAAAGCAACATTGGATGCGGCAGCCGCTGCACACCCTACTTGCAGCAACGGGCGCAGCAGTAGCAGTAGTAGTAGTGATAGTAGGTAAGAAGCAGGAAAAAACTTAGTGGTCGAAGAACTTGGAACAGCAGCAGTGGCAAAAATAGGCACTTGGGCAGCGCGTACACTAAGGGCCCTTGGCCTGTGGCCCCAGCCTCTAGTAGGTACGAAGCTGCTGTGTCTGCTGCAGCAGGCAGGAGAAGCAGCGGTAACTGTCGTGAAGAGCAAGCAGTCGCAAGCGCTGCTGCTTCCTGTTCGCCTGCTGCTGCAAATCCAACACAACGGCGAGCCATTCCGCAGAGGCTACCAGGCCGCGGCATACCCACAGCTGCAGCTGCAGCAGCTGCTGTTGCTGCTGCCCTTTCCGCACGCAGGCGAGCTGCCACAATTTGTTCGTTGCTCAAGCTGCTGTTACGTTTAGAGGACAGGGTCTTCGCTGCTGCAGCTGCCGCAGCGGCAGCAGCTGCTGCTGTTGCTGCAGCAGCGGCAGCAGCGGCTCCGAATGGCATGGGACAGTGGGGTCCCAGAATGTCAGCAAACACCCGAGGAGCTCCTGCCCGTGCCAGGAGAAGCGCCCAGGCCTCTTGGCCCTCAATGGAAGCGGTAAGGGACTGGTAGTCGGGCCTGTCCTGCCACTCCTGCAGGGCATGAGGCACCCACATGAACTGCCATTTGCCCACAGCAACAGAAAAAGCTACACCACCAACAACACCAAAAGCAGGTGCTGGTATGCCTCACCTGGCAAAGGAGGACGACTGTCTCCTTGTTTAGGTGCACCTCTTTCTCCCACAGGATGTAAAAGCCCCTTTGCCTCAACAACTTGCGGATTTCTTGTTGCTTCTGTTCCTGCTGGTGCAACTGTCGCTGCTGTTGTCCCTGCTGCAGCCTCTGTTGTGCTCTTCGCTGCTGTTGCTGATGCTGCAGCTTCAGCAACAGCAAATCCTTCATCAAAAAGACTGCAAAGGTGCGTTGAGCGCGAATAAGAGGCTGTGGGTGCGGCGGACTGCCAAATAAAAGTTCTAAGAAGCGCATGGCCTCCCCTCTTGTTTTAGGGGCATGCTGCAGCAATAGTAAAAACATCAAATGCCGCTGCAGCACTAGGACCAGCAATGGCAGTAACGACAGGCTAGTGGGGGTCGCAGTCACATCAGCAGCAATCCCTTGAAGAATCTTCGTTCATGGACACGTGTGCCAGCTACTGCACAGCGAATCCGCCGGTGCGGAGGGTCCTGTTCCCGCTGCTGCTGCTGCTTACGAAGCCGTTTCGAAGGAGGGACGTCCCACACAGGGCCCGCAGGCTGTATGGTCGTAACACTGCAGCCCTCGCGGGGTCTGGAGGGCCGCACAGCTGCCGCAGGCGGCGAAGCGCATCGTAGCCTTCAACAGCAATGGCCTCTAACAGTACCCACACACAACAACCACCACCGCTGTTGCAGCTGCTGCAGCCATGTTTAACACAAAATGATTCAACCAAAAAAGAAAACCCAAACGCTCAAATGCAAAAAGAGTGCGGTAGACCCGAACAGCGTATAGTTCGCTAGGGCGAGGGTGCAAAAGCAGCAGAAGCAGACGCTGTCGAATGTATTGCTGTTGCTGATACTTATGGGTGCAGGCCTTGGGCAGAGTTGGACTTACTGCAGCCCGAGGCTTCGCACAAGAAGGCCTCCATCTCGACGTAGTCTGGCTGAAAGCGCAAATCCCCGCAAGCCAAACAAGAATTCCCCGTAGGCCTCCACTAACCCTAGCATCAGCAGCAGCAGGCAGACGTGGGCTGAGCTAAGCGGCGAGTCCGTTAGCCGATTCGATGACTGACTGGCACCACAGTCATCCTCAAGCCCAGTCACAAATCCTACGGGTCCCTCTACACCTTTTTCTGTACCCCAGCCGGCTCTAAGAATGACGATATGGCTGTAGGCCCTAACAGGCCGCCAAAATGCGGTGCAGAGTAGTTGGAGCTTCAAGCAGTGAGCACCAAGGTCTGTCAAAGCCCACGAAAAGGCTCCAAGGGGTGCAGTAGGGGCTACCAAAGCCTTTACAAGAGTGTGTTTCATGATACAGGAGGGCACAATGGGTTACCTTCCCGATGCGACTGGGGAAAAGCTTCTCAACGTCTTGCTTGTGAAGTTGGAACTCAACGGAGGCCAAAATCGTGAGACCCTCCTCCAGCAGCAAGACCTCCACAGCTCGCTCAGGACATGACTCCCCCCGAGCTTCTGCTGCCGCCGCAGCAGCAGTTACGTCAGGCTTAACAAGCAGCACCGAACGCTCGAGTTCAAATGATTTCACTGCAGCACCGTCACCAGCAACAGCAACAACAACGACAGTGCACGCAACAGCAAGACGTAAACAGCCTCGACGGCACTCTGTTCTCCCTATAGGCCGCATACACGCTGCAGGGCGTAGCAGCAACAACCGCCGTTCCTGCTGCGACGGCAGCGTCATAATTTGCGGTAGCAGCCGTCTAGGGCTAGGAAGGCTGACCCGACGGATAAAAGAAGAGAACGTCGCGCTCGAAGGTCCAGCTGGAGTCGCTGAGGTAGTACTGCTGCCTCTTGGAGGCCCCAATGCAGAAGGCCTTGCGGAACCTGCGGATTCACAGGTAGCAAACGACGCCTATCTTGCAATCTCCCTTGATGAGTTGGGCTCACTTGACCCCAGAGCCTTTGTCATTTTCTTTCCGCACGAGTTGCGAGCCTGTATCTACTCCCTTTGGTGAGTTCGCTGCGTTTTCGTCTGTCTTCGTCTCTTTTCTCTGCTCTACCTCTGCTCTACCTATGGGTCAATCTGCCTCCGCCTCATACTCGATGTGTTCTGCCTGCCCCTGTCTGTTGTTCGGACTTTTTTTGTCTACATCATCCTGTCTATGCCTATGTTTCGTCTCCTCTTCGTTCTCGTGCACAATTTCAAGCACCCATCCCGGGCGCCACCCATCTCCCTGGAGCGAGTTAGCTGTGAGCCTCACGCTTCAGCTAGGCCTGTCTCATCTTCTTCCTCAGAAGCATCAGCGGAGGCAGCAGCTGATGCTGAATCTGTTGCTTCACTAGTTGCTTCATCTGCTGCCTCAGTAGCCGATCTATTGCTTGACTCAGCTCCCCCTTCGGCAACTCTTTCAGGTAATTCTTCAGCTGCTTCCTCAACCGTTGATTCAGCTGTTGTAGCATGTGATGCCTCAGCAGATCCTGCAGCCGCTGCTGCTGCAGCTGCGAATGACTCGGCCAATCGTTTGCGGGTCTTGCCAAGGGGGTGCTGCAGCAGAATGACCGTCGAGAGGCTGCGTGTGAGCTCCTCAATAAAGTCGGCGCGGCTCCACCCCTCAGGTGTCTCTGGCATGGCCTCGTTTGCTTCTTCCTGCGAAACTCAGCGTCTCAAACCCTGAAGCCTAAACTGTCAAGCTGCAAGGGGCACCCCGTAGAGAACGGCTGCTGGAATGGAGAAATCCATCCGCCTTCGTAAGTGCCGCCCCAAGTACCTCTGTGAAGGCGAAGGTCTTTGTCTTTATTATATCATAGCACGTGTCCAGCAACAACTCCTCCACTTTTGGACCCTAACAACGCGCCACATCCTCTTCGTTCAGGTGCACGGTTAAGCCTTCATCCCCGTTGCTGCTGCGCTGCAGCAACTCATCCTCTCCTCGCCTTACACTCACTATTTGAGCGTATGCGTATATACGTACCTACAATATATATCGGTTCTAGTGCATGTATTTTGTGTACAGATACATACAGTCATGCACGTAGTAAGCTGGACAGCTTCCCCTGGGCCCTGTGGGAACTGAGAGGAGGTGACTGTTCACTATTGTCTGTGTGCTGTGTGTGAGTTGCGTTTGTGTTCGCCTGGTGTATGTGCAGTATAAGGGCGGGGTCGGGTACCTTCTTCTGCCTAATTATTTCAGGAAAGAGGAGCAGCACGGCTCCATCGCCAGGGCGAGCCGCCATCACGGAGACCGCACGGCAGTTTACGCCGTCGAACCCTAAATGCTAAACAATCTGAATGGAGCTCAATGCCACCACGCACTGTTTCTCGTCCCTAAACCCTAACTGCTAAAAACTAAACACACAACTAGAAGGGCTGGCGAGCATGCACGTGCCACATGAGCACGGCTAGAGAGACTGAGACGCAAGGAGACAGCTATACTAGGACAGCTACTGGATTAGGCAGTGAGGCTGCCGCCAGTGCCCAGATCCCACTTCTGCTCTGTATGTAGACTACTGTAAACGAAATCTGTATAAAGTGTTCAATCACAGGATTTCATTTTCAATGCAGATCAGTTATTCGCAGTTCCGAGGGCCCCCATTTCAAAAGGCAGCCATCGCGCATGCAGCCCGATCCCAGCATGGCAACTGGGGTGTCTCTGGTCTTTACCTCCACCTCCAAAAGAGGTAATAGTTATGAGACGAAACGGAATTTAGCCTGTTTCAAGCCTTCTGCAGGTTCCTAGCTGTTGTTGGCTGTGCGGGCTCAGCCTCCCCCGCATGCAAAGCCCGGTCCACACGAGACAGCTAAGCACAACAGGAGACAGATGAAAAACGTGGCTCAGAGAGACAGACAGTTATCCTAGGCAAAAGACAAGCTGAAAATAGAGAGACCTTAACCAGAAGCACGGAGTGTGCGTGCGGCACAGCCCCCCATTTCTGTGTACTCGAGAGGTACCAAAACGCTGCAGAAAAGAACAAGTAACTGAGCTCTTGCGCCAACGTTGAGCAACCGAGGTGCCTGTACACCAACGTAAATACGCACCAGCAAAGAACAAACTGTGTCTTATCCTCAGCAACGGAAAGATGTGAAGCCAGTCAGGCCAGTAGGGACAGCGGCGATTTTCTCCCAGTGCCGGGCGGCATGTGGAGCCTGCAGCTGTTGCCTTTCCTGTCAGCTGAGCGTCTGCTGGGCAGGAGATGTGGCTGGAGGAGGCGCGCAGCGACCGCTGAAATCGGCATGCAACGCGGCAAGCCTCTACCGTAAAGCCCCATGATCGCTCCCCCCGATGTGACGTTGAGGGAGGACGTTGGGGTGACCTATGCAGACCCCGACGAGGTACTTGACCCCTGCGCCTTCTCGGTAGCGTATCCTTTGTATTCTGTAGATTCAGAGCTTTCAACGGAGAGCTCCAACAGGCAGTGGTCTTGCCGCCTGCTGCCCTGTCTCCCGCCTCTGGGGTTGGTGTCTGCATCGTTGGGCCTGCAACTGGGGGCAGGCTTGCTACTGCTGGCTGCTGCTAGCAACGGCAAGCGCCTCCACTGGCTGACGCCCAGTTTGGTCGACCCTGAGTTGCCGGCCATATACCCGTACCTGATGCAGAGAGACCCAAAAACTTACGCGTGGTGCCTGGCTTATGCGTGGGCGGCGTTGGTGCTCATATTCTGTTTGCTTACAACAGGAGCAACAGTAGTCGCTGTCCTGTTAGGTTGCTGCAAATGGGCTCGTGCCGTGCGAGGCTTGAGCATCGTGCAGGCCATCATCTGCTTCTTAACAGCTGCAACCTGTGCCACTTGGCTGGCCGGATACGCAGTGGCTCAGTCTGGCTGGACAGGAGCGACCGTAATTGCCTTCCTCGCTCCTTTCAACTACGGGACTCTGCTCTTTGTCAAGACACACGAAGGCATGATCCGAGCTGCTGGCGTTATGCTGGCTGCAGCTACGGGGGCGAGTGCTCGAGCTTCCAGAGCCACTTGCCATGACACTGCGGTCGGAGCCACGGTGTACGGACACCCCAACATATCCCACCCAGTACTCCCCACATAGTGCTCAAGTTACACTCGAAATCTTCACCGCGTATTCGATGCACAGGCGGAAGTTCCCTCACCTCCTGCCAACTCTGTTTAACTCTAAAGCCATACACATATCGGAATAAGCACGCAGCCAGAAGTGGGTGTGATATAATCCATTTGTGCAGCACTGTCTTCAGTTTGACTGCACGGTCACTGGGTCCACAATTTTCGGCTTATGGTTTGTGTGCATGTTTCAGGACATCCTTTGCTTTAATTCTGTCTTGGGCGGTGAGCTTCCTGTTGATGCAGGCTGCAGTTGGAAGTATGGCGCCTCCTGTTTTTGGAGTGCCATCTGGCTTTTTGTCTTTCGCCTGCTTGTTGACTTTGAATTTTGGGTGTTTTGGGCGCTGGCGCGTGGTGGTGCTTATGGGGCTGTTTGGGGCTTCGGCCTTCGTGGCACTTTTAGTTTGGTCTGCTGCCCATGAGGCATACATCATCAATTACAGCAACAGGGCGCATACGGTAACTCCCCTGGTCGCTCAATTGCGGCGGCTGGTGAATATTAAGCAGTGGGCTCGTGCATTGGGCCGCAAGGGAGGCCTGGCCAGCCTCGTGCAGCTAGCCGCTGCTCAGACTGTGCTGTGTCTGTTCGCCACCGTCGTCATGTTTGGTCGCGCCTTCGGCCATAAGCTGGACTCGTGCAAAAGAAAACGGCGGCAAAAAAAACGTGACAAAGCTGTCTGCGAGGCCATCCACCAGGCCGCCACTACACACGCCCACCCGCAGGCCGTTGTTGAAACATACACTACTGAACCTGCCTTCGACGCCTCTCTCGCTCCTCTCCCTCTCCCACCGCCCTTGCCCCCTCCCTCCGTAGAGCCCGCCAAAATTCTCGTGCCACCTCCCCCGCACGCTGTCTTTCCTTAGGTTGTCCTACAGCAAGGCATCACCAGCGCGTTTCGCGTTTCCGACGGAGTTAATTTCTTTTTGTCAGACCAGAAACTGCATGGGGATGTCTCTGTGCCCCTTCTTAACCTTCTTTAGCGACGGTGCTATTTCTTTTTGTCAGACCAGAAACTGCATGGGAATGTCTCCGTGCCCCTTCTTAGCCTTCTTTGCCGACGGAGTTAATTTCTTTCTGTCAGACCAGAAAGTGCAAGGGGATGTCGCCGTTCCCCTTCTTAACCTTCTTTATAAAATCACACTGACAACCCAATATTTAAACGACGGGGCAAGTCGTAGGTGTCCTCCAGCTGCCCTTGGAGTTTCAAAGACAAGGATTTGAAATTTGTTTTTTCACACCATGCAACATGCGGCTTCGGGTTTCTGTTTAACGGCGGACTAGAGGCTCTGTAAAAGAAGAGCCAGGCGATGCAGACTACCTGCTCTATAGTCACTTTCTCAGCCCCACTGAGCGGTGCGGCTAGCACTTTACGCATCCACGTAAAAGTTGTCGTCTGTGAAAGCACGCTGACACACGCAAGGCTCCAACTCGCTAGCCTCTGCAGGGGTTTAGCTTGCCATTTGATGTACAACTGCATACCCTTCACCCTCATCTAGTGTGTAGCTACCCGGAAAAACTGCATCTGATGCCTTCGTTGCAACACACCTACAAGCGACTCTTTGGCGGCATCTGCGGTCATTTGGGGGTATTTTAGTGTGACCCCCCTCCAAGCTTACAGACATCCCGGGGTTTCAAGGGGGGACCAACATGGAGGAGAGAAAAGTTCAAGCAAAAGGAGGCACTAAGACTGAACCTCCTGAGGCTTCAGGGACAAACTGACCCAATAAGGTCCAGCAAGCATGCCACGATCGCAGCGTATCACTTAAATGGGAGCCTAACATGTCCTCTGCACCGTTTACTTGGGCTCAGAAGGTGAGTGGAGGGCAGGCAGTTGCATCACTCGCTAACGAGTGTTGTTTGGTTAGTTCTTGACACTTTGATTATCAACGCCCCTGGTTTGCACACTCCCGGACAAACCATGGCACTCCATTCAGTTCAAAAGAGCACAAGCTGCCTCTTTTAGTGCTTATGGGCACACTATGCAAAAACTCTGTGTGTTGTTATCCTCTTGCTATCATGATTTATTTTACTGGGCACTCACTCGAGACAGACTACGGCTCCGCGGGCCGACAGATCCGAGCGATCAGGCTGGAAGCGACACTCCCCTAGCCCATACATGAAGCTCAAAAATATTCCAAGGTATGCTTTAAGGCTTAATGCATACATGAGAAGTGTAAGGGCCTCACAAAAGTCCGGGATAACAATGACCATGAGCATGGCCATTTCAGCTGCAGAACGCCGCGGTGAGGAACCTCCAAGACTGGGGTTACTCCCGACGTTTGTCTCGAGATCTGTAGATCTGAGAGAAATTTAACAAAATGAAAAATCATTTTGTATCCATTTAGATCAACTAGAGACCAGAAAGTGAGGACCTTCCCCTGCTGTCCACACATGCACGGGACCGATCGCCCCGGCCCCAGTGGACCCGCTCCTGTTGGGTGAGGCCTGTTGAGCTCTTTCTGTCCAGTCTGTGGGCACGTATATTTGTACTCTCAATTTAGAGTTTACATTGAACTTCTCCAAGTTTAAAAAGTGAGGAAGACAAACGCATGAAGCCCACATAGTACTCCCCGGCCCTCCCTGCCGGTTGCGACCCCGTGGGCTCCAGCGCCAGCACAACTGTCGCCTCCGTTTTTCCAGAGTAGTGTCTTTATATCCCAACAGAGCCCTGGATGCCTTAAATAGGCACTACATCGAAGGTCTTGGGTCCCCCAAATCCTCCACAGGTCGCGGAAGGCCAAGGCCCCCATCATACGGGCAGCCTAGGAAGTCCGTGACCCGTCGACTGTTTCAGCTCCCACGACGCAGAAAGTCAGATATATAAAGCGCATTCAACATGTTCAAGCATGCGATGGGGTTGGCAGCGCTACTGGGGCTGTTTCCCCAACCAACGCACACTGCAGGTGGGCGAAAATACGAGAGCACGGCGATCCTCTATTAGCTATCCTGCATCCTGCCCTGTTTTACCCCACTTTCCTTTCCTGCACCTCTTGCCTCCCTAGTATACCTAAGTCGCCCTTAGACAAGCAAAACTCAAATACCAAAGGGCAAGCATGCAGAGATGTTGACCCCGGCGCTCGGGTACACATACAAGCCAAATGTCAGTGTGCCTGAGTCTCAATGTTAACATCTCGGCATGCAAGCATGCTTAGCATACTTTCCTCGCCTCGTTTGTTGCTTTGCTCCCCGATGGTCGCTTACGCATCTCTGATTAGCTTCCACCGTGGTGTTTTCACGCTGCGCCTCTCACTCAGCTGTTTCACTTTCAGTGTGAGTGGCGTACGACAGGGACATCCACTTGTGCTGCTGTGAAGCAGGAGATATGAAACCGAGGAAAGGCACACCAGCTGCGTTAGACAACCCCGGAGTTCCTGGCTGTCCTTTCCCTTCCCCTCGCTATCAGCGGCCGCTCTCCCTGTCAGAACTCCCCATGCCGTGCGTCTCCGCACGGGGTAACCAGGAAAACGCCTATCCAGTGCCTCTCAAGGCTGCTTATTGCATTTAAGGACTCTTAGGGGGAGAACAGAGGCTTGCAAAGGTTTAGGGGCCCGTGAACGCGCATATTTGATCTTGGCACTGCAGTTTGCTGCCCCTTTAAGCATGACCACCTTCGGCTGCAAATAGTGGTTGCCTGTGCTTATGTTTTGTTTGCAGAGAAGCGGAGGGCCCCCGCACCTTTTGGTGGGTCGACTACAAGGAGGTCGAGGCGGGGGAAATTTCGTTGAGGTCCAGTGGCCAAGGGGAGCAGGTGCCACGACACAGACACAAAAAGAAGGGCTCCTCCAGGAAAAAACTCGAGCGACGGGAACTCCACACACAGGAACAACAGCAGAGGCCACAGCAGCAGCAGCAGCGGCAGCGGCAGCAGCGATACAGGAACTCGGTGAAGCTACAAAAACAACGCGAACGCTCCCTCACAGGTGGCTCTGACGTAGAACCACTGGAACCGACACAGAATCAGCACGTACAGCAGCAGCAGCAGAGACGGCACAGGAATTCCTTGCAGATGCAGCTTCATCGAGAGCCTTCTCCATCGGACGGTTCCACCACAGACACCTCGGATGAGGAGGTTCAGCAAGGGCAACAGGAAAGACAGCGAAGACATCGCTACAGAAACTCGGTGCATCTGGAGCTTCGGCAGAATGCGTGGAAGTCAGGATTGAATAGCATACCAGAGGATTCCGACGAAGAAGTGCAAGATCAGCAGCCCTCGTTACCAGTGGCCATGATACCTGGAAAGCAGCAAGTGCAGGAAACACCCGCACAACATTCTGGGGGATTGCAAGATGTTGGGGAGCTAAGCGAGAGCGACTGGAGCGACGGGGATTTCAGCGAGGGTGAGGAAGAGGCGGGAGCTGCAGCAAAGGGACCTGCCCCTTTCAAGGGGCAAATTTCACCCCACAACCTCGAAGGGTCCCCGCTTCCTGCCCCTGTACTCAACAGAGCGGTAAGCCAGCTTATAGTATAGATTGAAACTGCTCTGAAGCGGCCCTTGTAGTTGCCCAACGCACGGTGAGGGACCTAGCCGACTCTCTTTCGTTTGATTCTCTCTACAGGTCTCGAAGATCAACAGGCGCTATGGGCAGTGCGGAGACACTGCCAGAGAGATGACCTCAGCAGGTCGGATGGCTCATTGACCTTGTAACATTCGTAGCGTCAAGCTAGGCTTTGGCACACCACTGAAGAGCTCCGTCCTACCCGGAAGCAAGAGCCGTAGCAGCCGAAACACCGACATTATCAGCGACGGCATCAAGGGCAATTTTTCTATGGTATGTGTGGTGTATCTGCAGAGGAGGAGCTGATAGACAGCGTCATACAGCGCTGGGAAAAGTCGGGCTTTCAAGCTTTCAAGATAGAGGGAATGACCGTCAACTCGTAGGGCTAACATATGAGTTTGCCGCCACATGGTTTGCATTTTGCAACTGAGCATAAAGCAGGAGCAGAGAATAGTCATGCTTTTAGTTGCAGCTGCTGCAGCTGCTCTGCTGCTACTTGCACATCTCACCAATACCTGTCTATGTCTTGTTAGGGGGGAGCAGAAGCTCATTCTGCACAACGAAGCGTTGACTGCGAACCTCGTAGACATTTACCTGCGAGCACTCGAGGTGAAATATCTTCCCAGCAGCCCCTGAGAGTTATTAAGTCAGCTTGCCACTGGATAACAGTGCTAAGTCGCCGCGGCTGCAGCGGCAACTTAAGCCGCTCATCCTTAACAGCTTCAGAAGCAGACAATTGAGGGCCATCAAGGCCTCCTGATCTCAGCAGGCAGACTGCACGGCATAAGCGGCGTCGAACTGTTGCCTGTAGCATGCTCTCGCTGCTGAATGTGTGGTTTTGCAGATAAACAAGACCCCACTGACCACCAGCAGGTATGTGCACCTTGCAGTAGTGGAGCCGATGTTTTGCGAATCCGTTGCAGGATGGCCTGTAACATCCTGAGTCTTGCCCATTGAGCAGCTAGCCATAGGTTTGATGTTTGCTGCATAGGCGGAAGAGGCCAAAGCTGACAAGCCTTCCTGTCGAATTGGCTTCGAAGATGCTCAGTCCTTCTCTCTCTGCTGAAGAGAGTGAGCAACTGCTGGTGAGCCAATGCAGCTTTGTTGGGGAGTTTGGGGATCTGATTTTGGATGCTTCTGGCTAAATGGGATTGAGGTGGCTTTGTTGTATCCATCTGGGATCTCTAAAACATGAAGGGGCCTCCGTTCCATCAGTATCTTGACTCTTGTGCCGCTTTTTTGGGTCAGGCATCCATGGAGACACGGCGGGTACTGGAGGCCCACATAACTGTCATCCCATTAATGAAAAACCGCATGCATTTCTCGGCTCTCGTCCTTGATACAATGTGTGGGAGCACGACTGCGACAGAATTTGGTGTGATGTGGACTTGTAGCTTTGTCCATAAGTTAATGAGCTAACAGAGCTGTTGCCGGGACTTGGACTGATTGAGCGTGGGTCCCAGAGATGTGCTGTGCTGCAGTAAGGGACCAAGCGCAGTGCTGTTTTTGTTGAGGTGGTATGACCCTTTCGGAGAGTCGGGATCGATACCCATACAAAATATTCTTCCCCTGCTGAAGCAACTTGCTGAGGTGCACGGTGAGAAAGTGCACCTCAGGCCGGGAGTCTAGGCCTTGGCTTACGTCATGCAGCCACGGACTGTCTGTCCGCCAGCGGCCCAGTGTTCCAATGTTTTTGGTAACGCACCAAGTGCTCAATTTGCGAGCGGCATTCTTGTGCGATGCAGGCCTGAGATTCTCCAGTTTGTACCGAACCAACTTTGCGTCAGAGGTGCGTCATCCCCCCTGTAGGTTGAATCCCCATTTATGCAGAAACTACAAACACAGGAAGAAAGGAAGGCTTGGTGGTCGCACTTTTGTTGTGTATGCGGAACTGTGCCGAACCTTCAGCCGACCGTCACCACAGATAACGACCCCAGGGACACGGGTGTTCTGTGCTGCATGCTGGCCACTCAACTGGCTGAAGGTTGTTCGCCAGTTGCTTCGGACGGAGACGCACTGTACTTTAGGAAACAAATGGTAATTGATTCTAGTTTTTGCTTCCGAATTATCTCTTTGCTTGTAGCTGGGTTCATCGCCCAAAACCCCCAATTTCTCCTAAGGAAACTACTGGTTTTCAAAGGATCTTACTTAGGAACAGTGGTGAAGGTAGATGCTGAACTTGCACTCTCCAGCTGCTTCAGGGGAAAAGAAGCCAGACCAAGGGATACATGACTGAAAGTGTTGATGGGGAGCTTGTTTGGTGTTTGCTGCTCTCAGCTCCTAAAGCTTGACTTTGCTGGCCGCTGGAGGCGGGTTACTCCAGAAGACGGATAATGAGTTTTAGTTGGTTTTTACGTGTTTATCCGTGCCGTCATAAGGCCCTTAATAGGCATATCTATTGGGATTCCTGGCGGACCACTGTATGCAAGGGAGGGCCGAATCCCCGCGCCTCTGAACGCCCACGGGGCTATCCAAGACTCACAAGTGATTAAATTTGGGATGACCTCTGGCATTAGGCTCATAGGCTTTAGTCGCAGGTGCACAGTTACACAGGTCACGGTTGTGAGGTAGGTAGAGATGGCAGAAGTGGAAGGTGGTTTTTAAGGCAGTCAGTTGATTGTAGTCCAACGCCAGTTGGCAGAAGGGAGTGGTATATTCCGAGGCATTGCTGACTACAATGAAGCCAGTGCTCATACGCCGCAAGCAGTATGCAGCACGGGCCACACGCTCTTAGACACAGCTCAGCAGGTGATAGGGACAACTGGATGGCTCACCGCTACACCGGGGCAGAGAATGCTGCCTAAGAAGTGAGTTTGTCAGCAGGAAAACAGTTAAGTTGTGCATCTAGTCAGTCGAAGTGTGATACAGATAGCCGCGCCGCTGACAAACCCTGCCTGCCGGGATGATGGACCAGTAGGCGGTCCGTTGAATGAGCAGTGGAGATCGCAGGAATTGCTGTTAGGATTATGTCTTAATCCTTTTCTTGTCAGCTGATTTAAAACAGGATAGTATTTAATTATGCACGTGGTGAACAGGCCTCTCGTCTTCGGCCCCATTGCAGCCAGCCAATCAAGGCGAAGGAGTCCCCCGACAGCCTTGCGGGCTCGTGAGTTGCCGGGGTCCCGAGCAAACCTTAGTTTGACATTCTCTCGACTACTGCAATAAGGATTTAGATGTAAATGACTCATGAAAGTTAAAAGACAGTTGCAACGCCCCGGTTACCCTCCGTATTTGGGGCAGTGGAGCCCACGAGGCCCACCTTCCAAAATTTCATAGAGGGTGCCTGTTCAGCTTGCAATGGAATCCCTTATTTTATTCTAAAGTGTCTGTCCATCTGTCGTGTGGTTCTGCAAAGTAACCGGAGTTGAGCCGGTGGCGGGATTTGTCTGAGGCCGGAGGCTCGAAGGCCCCCCGTCCATGGTGTCTCCGATGACCAACTGCGCTCGAGGGGGACTCAGTTGGACCGCAGTTTAAACATATTCTGTTTGACTAAGCTCTGTCTGGGTTGGAGAGGCATGGCTGTAGGAGAGGTGGACAGTAACGGACTCTTAACGACCCGAAGATGGAAGACCCGGCTGCACTTCTAAAGGACAAAGAGGATGGACCCTCCATCGAAGCTTCCCGAGAATACGACAACCTGTACCAGCTGGAACTCAAGTACTGGTCAATTAGGACTTTAAGGAGGACCGTGAGGTATTCGGGCTGTTTGGCGCTTACAGGACAGCTGGTTGCTGCCCTCTTTTGCTTCATAGCCGCACCGTGGGCGGATTCTACAGAAAGAAGCCGAAACCTCAAATTCGCAGGCTGTATACTGCTCTCCACCTTTTCCGGAAGTTGCCTCTTCTTCTCGCTCGCTGCGGTTGCAGTCGCGTGGGTTGTGAGCTACATCTACTTGGCACATTCACACGCTAGACACCAGCCAACCTTGTTGTACCAGTGTAGATAACCTCAGCCAAGTAAAGACGTCTGTGTGCACAATATATTACAGTGTGTACTCTGTATAGAAGCTACATTATACACGAAATGCACATATCTGCGCAGATGCGATTTAAATCTGCATGCATACATTCCCATATTGATGTACAGAGTACAGGATGTACATACACACTGAACTCCAGTGACGTCCGGTTTTAACGTCAGCAATATGTGTGTATGTGCGTGCCGCAGACGAGCGTGAAGGCCCACGTGGGTAATGCACTGCTTTTTGCGGGCTTCCACATCAAGTCCCTTGTGTACTCTTCTTGCGCTTGCGCTATCTCTGCGTCGCTTCTCAAGTGTTTCGGCCTTCAAACAGCTCCCCTGAATTTTGAGTCTGCCATTGCTTGCACCTGCGTGGTACTGCTTCATTTGCTGGTGCAGCCCGTACCTCTAGGCGGGTTCTGGGCCGTCTGTGCTTCATCCTTTCTGGTGTTTATTGTGGGGTCCCAGAAGCTGGTATCTGCCCTTGCGGAAGGCACCTTACCTAAGAGCTATTTCGCCTTCGTCGGCTTAAGCCACCTCTGGTGGTTGTCGCCTCTCATATTAGCAGCGGCCCTTGCTGCTGTCTTGCTGCTGTGCCACTACATCGAATTGCTGCAGGTTGTTTCGCGGGGGGGCTACCACATATTCTGTCCCCCGAACCCACACCTTTGCAGTTTGGATGACTTGGCACGCGATGCTGTACAGGGTAGGCCTTTGTCTCTTTCCCCCTGTAAGCCGCGCAGCCCGCCATCTGTTGCTGCCTTTGTCCAGCTGTATCGAGAAAAGCTGTCCCCTCGCCTACAGGGGCCAGCTATTGCACAACAGCGAAGGACTGTGGGAAGCCCGATCCCGGCAGCTCCAAGGCCAGCCGCAAACGATCACGAAACTACACTGACTGACAGTAAAGTCAATACAAACTATCAACAGAAGGCATCTTCTGAAGGAGCGTGGCTAGTTGCCCTATGGTTGAGGGGTCCTTTCTTCTTAGGAAGCTTGGGTGCGCTCTGTATTGCATTGGCCTTGGGTCTCTATGCAGTGGCATCTGATTCCAGGGCAGCATTCCATGGTGCCTCTGCGTTTGATGAAATTTCTCGGTTGCTGCTTCCTACTCAGCACCGGCCCGTGAAAGAATTTGCGGCTTCCTTTGTCCCTGTTCACGAACAACAGCTGTCTGATGGGGAGGTCATTCCTTTGGCACGGAGCTTTCTGCAAAACCACAACCAGCAGCGACAGCAAGATGGCAAGTTGTTTTCCTCAAGCCAGCATCGTCGGTGGCAGCACCGAAGTAGGCATTTGATTCAGGTCCTTCAGGCACCAACACCGTCTGCTGAAAACCTCGCTGGTGGAACCCTCCACGATCCCGTGGTGAAACAGCCAGACGCAACAGCAACACCAAGCAACTCCTTTTTGCAAATGCGACCCCTCGATGACCCACAGCTTAATAAAGCTCATAATCAACACGGCATGAAGAGTGCCGCTGCGCTGCTGCTACTGGCTCTGGTGCTGTTAACGCCTCTATTAGGAAGTAGCTTGGGCGAGTGGGTTGAAGGTGGGCTACAGTAGCGAATGCACTACAGTTCTTTTGGCCTTCGCCTAACTGCCATATGTTTTTCACAAACTAATGCCCTTTAAGTGGAAATCCTCACGCTAATCCTCTTTCTCCGTCCGTTGTTTGTTGCAGATATGTTCTTCGCACATATGGTAATGATAAAGAGAAACCCCTGGATGCTCGTACCGCCTCCAACGCTATTTGTGCACCCAAGAAAGCCAGTACTAGAACCTGCCAAGGCAACAAAAGAAGCGCCACCCTCCACGAAAAGCTCAGAACCCCTTCTGCACCTGGCTCAAGAACGAATGACTCACCAGACGCCTCAACATTTCCTGGGCCTCGACGCACAGCCGAAGCAAGAGCAGCAATCAGAGCGCCAGGAGGGCCAGCAGCCACGCTATGAGCAGGAACAGCAACCATAACAACTCTGGGACCGAAAAGCGGAGTTGAGGACTTCCCGTAAAGCAGCGTCCTACCTGCGTAGGAAAGGGAGGTCTTCAACGAAGGAGTCAATGTTTTTTTTTTCTGAAACTGCTGCTCATCATGCTCGCCTTGCTGTTTGTGAGCCACGAGCTGCAGAACGAATGGCGGGAGAAACGTCTTGTGACCTTAGGGACAGGCAGATGCTCCTGCTCCGTTAGCGGTAGAAATGCGCAGTTATGCAGCGCGCCCATTGTGCAGCTGCAGCTTGTGCGTTCGGACAGGTGCCAGCAGGTCTTCAAGCTGTGTGGAGCCTCACGCACACTATATCATGCACCGTGGGATGGCAGCAGTCAGTTTTGCTTGAGAGTTTTTCAGTGAAGGAAGCTTTTGGGGTAACCAAAATGGGAGACGCTCGAGGAATAAGGGCAGATAGAGGCAGCGTTTTATGGCACTGCAGCCACAGAGCTGGCAGCTGTGCACACGTGCTTGGTGGCCCCGTGGTAGAGGAGTGCAGCAAGCAACAAGAGGTGCTGCAGCAACTACGGTCACTGCTTCCAGATCCCGCTGATTCTGCACCGAATGATTTTTATGCTAATGAACACGCTAGAGACGAAAAATGGAAAACTGGTGAATTTATTGTACAGGCCTATAAATAAGATATTAAGTCAAATCTGCAAGTTAACATTTACTATCGCTTTCCCTACTGCTGGCAGCATGTTCTTCCTTGCCGTGCTCGGTCCTCTGTATCTTTTCTGTTGTCAACTGAAGTACATTCTGCTTAGCTGCAAGTGGGGGCAAGCTGAGCCAATTCACTGCATTTGCTTTGGGCTTGTTGGGTCAGTTAGTATATCATCTTTAGGCGCCTGTTGCTACATTAGTGCCGGTCTCTAAGGCCCCTCCAGAGCACGCTTAAGGGATTATCCGAGGGTATAATCCCTAGGCATGAGGCACTGCTGAACCGGCGGCCTGCGTTACCGTCCTGAATGTATTCTCTACATCATTAAAAGCGTTTAAAATGAGTTTACGGGTATAAATGAATTAAAGAGCAGATGAGACACAACCCTCGGCAAGATACTACACTAAAATACATAAAAAGCAGCATACAGTCAGACAGACAAGGAGAAGATTGAGCACCTAAAGGGCAGGAACGCAACCATTTAGGCGTGTCTCCCACACAACCGTAGCCTTATCAGGCTAAGGCGAAATCATGACAAAGAAGGCACCCAGGTACCAAGGTGTGGTGAAAGTTCAATACCCTCAGGCGCTTTCATAATATGTGGGGGTGCAGCGACTAAGTGCAGAATCACTACAGTCTGCTGTTGTCAACCTGCTGCACGAAATGCTTTCTTCGTCCTGTACAAAACCTTTTTCCTGCTGTAAGCAAGAGCTTCCTGATGCCTCTGCCCCGCAGGGCGGTCCGGCAGACGGGAAGACGGGCAATTGCTCCTTCGCATTCTTGCAAAGTTTCGAAACACATTCAAGGGGCTCTTGTGTGTCCTCACTGTTGGTACCGCACGGGGCCTCAATCGCAGCTGGAGCGATTGCCTTGCCAGTGAAAAGCCCAGTGCTTAGATTTCCCTGACTCCCGTTCCCTGGGGAAATCTTCTCATCTACTGAAATGTCTCCTCCTTCTTGGGTTCCCGTTGTAGAAGGAGTCACCACGTCTTGAGTCGGTACTTTTTCAGAATCGCAAGCAGCGGACACAGCTGCTGACGCTGCGGCTGCAGGACGAGCGGCTTCTTGTGTGAAGGCTTCTTCCGAAGGCCGTCCTACTTTTACTGTGGGTGCGTCGGAGATAGCACATATCTCTACAGATGCGTTGGAGCGCTGCGTTCCTTCATAGCACACCTCCTGCTCTTGGTCTTGCTGGAGATGCTGGTCAGGAGAAGCTGCTACGGCCGAGGGGTCGTGGCCTTCTTCCACTGCTGCAGAATCTTCTGGGGTTGCACCTGGGAGGGGCGAGACCAGCTGGCTAAATTGCCTTAACCGGTCAATCGCCATATCCCGGGCCTCGAAGAAGCCGTGAACTGCACACGTGTAGCCCTTCCAGATACGGCGACCGCTGGCCGGGTCTCGAACCCGAGCGTACCACCGACCGAGCACGCGGTTGTAGTTCAGGTGTGGAATACGAGGCAGCTTTCGAGCCTCACTTTCCCACCTCAACAGCTGCGCCTTTGTAGTCGTTGCTCTAGGAGGAGCGGATGTCCCTCCGTTCGCGGCGCAGGCATCGCCGCCAAACCCCTTGTTCCGGGTGCTTGTTGGGGCTGCCTCTTTGCTTTGCGCCTTTAACGTGCTGGCCTTCCGCTTTCTCACCATAGGCTTCGTACAGCCTGAAAGCCGTCCATTGCAAAGCTTTGTTTGGGGGGGGTGCGCAGGATGGCAGTCACCTTCGGCTGCAGCGAGTTGCAACAAACTCCTGGGGAGCTCTACGCGGAGGGCTTCCAGCACCGAAGCACCGCAAAGCTGGTGTTCTCTCCGATGAGGGGCGTGAGTCTGGGGTATATCTTCGTTAGAAATGCCGAAAATGAAGGCGTCTGGCAGGGGAATTGGCACAGGGGCCCATGGGCAATGCAGAAGGTCTAGGGAGTCTGCAGCCCTAGAGTAGAAGTCAGCTATGCGGGCTTGCACCGGCAAAGCCCTTAAGAACTCCCCGTCTCTCCACTCTCCCAGCAGCGGCCTACTAGCTCCAGCTGGACATACACAGCACGAAAAGCCGTGCAAACGACCGTCACGGAAGTGCCCAAAGAATGTTGGGCCCTGCGGCACCACAAAAATGCCTGCACGAAAGCAAAGCCCCCCAAAGCACAGCGTGTCGGTTGGAAGTCACTCATTTTGGCGGGAGAAAGTCGCCCTCATAACCTCACAAAGAGTCTCGCAGGGGCAGCTGACCGGCACGCCAACTGCATAAGGGTAGAACAAAGGTGTAATACTCACCGGGCCCGTTTTGCTTGTCCTCCTCAAAGCCACCTCTATATACAAATCCGCTGGGAGTTATGAAGACGCCCAAGCCGTGAAGACGATCACGAGCCCATTGTCCGCAGTACACCGAGTTGTCAGTATACCTGTACACCCCCAAACCGTCGAGACTCCCCTCCCTCACATGTCCGCAGTACCAGCTCCCGTCTTCCCAGCTCAAAAAGCTGAGGGGCCCTTTGTCCTTCGGCAACGACTCCGCCAATTTGGAGAAGAGAGCGATGCTGAGGTCTTGCAAAAGTGCACCTTTGTCCGCGGGTTGAGGGACCGTAGGAGCCTGGCGGTTGCCGTGAATGTATCTATGAGCGTCGCCAGCGTCCGCGTGCGTCCTCGAAGACTCCGTCTTATTGTCGCTGGAAAGTTGCAGCTGGCAAGCGGGATGTACGCCCGTCCCTGCAGTAGCAGCCCCACGGGCACTTCGCATCAGCCACGAAGCATTTTCTCGAGCTACTGTCGCCGCAGAGGCGGCAATAAATCCGTCAGGACCGTTCATTATACGATGCAAGCGTGCAGCCAATGAATCCAGACCCTCTGGTGTGGCCAAAAGATATTTAACTGCGCTTGTCTGTCAGTGGTGTTTAACCTGAAGAAGATTTCCGGGAAATCAACATAAATATGTATTCTGATTCCTCTTTTGATAGTCTAGAGGCTACGACGCAGAGGCTCTTTGACCGATTGCGTCCGAAAAAACCCCTCCCCTATCCAGCTCCCGTGGGTTCTCTAGCCGAAATGTCCTGCAGTCAAGTTTGCAAATCTTCTGGTCCCTGTAGCTATAAGGGAAATGTATGGATAGGCTTTCAAAGCGGAGAGGGCGAAACGGCGTGAGCGCAGTCTGGGAAGTCATATAAAGGCTGTGTGCTACCAAGTACCGGCCCCTCTTCTGCTAGAGAGCAGCTATCAAAATACAGCTGTTCGATAACACTTTGTGAAGTTCTGAACGTTCTGAAAACTGCCTCTGGAGGGCAGCAGACACATTTGCCAGCGCGTCGGCGACGGCGCAGTTCGCCTCGTGAGCTACAGAAGAGGGTCCTCAAGCCCAGTTTAAAGAGTTCCCAAAGTTTTCAACACTCAAACACTCATCGCATATGCTGTCGCTTTCGTGGGGAGCCAAAAGGGTTTTCTGCAGGTAGAGGCGATGGGACTTTCAATGTCAGAGGGTGGAGACGCTGGTGAGGCCGACGGCCGCTTGCAACGCCGTTGCTGGACAAGACATACGAGCATGAGGTTCAAAGTAGTAAAATGTTAGATATCGCCACTTTAAATGACTAAGAGGCTCCGGCTTCATCGCAGTTGTCACTGTCTGCTGGCTGGGAGGCGGCGGCCTGTCGGCAGTGGCAGACTAGCCAGGAGCGACGCAAGAACTGCATCGAGGTCATTCAGCTCTAAAAGCGACTAAAATGATTCATTATTTTATTTGTCATCAAAGAAAAGACGCTGATGCACTGGCAAGTGACGACTTCTCGCGCCAGCAGCCCCACGGGTCATCCCGGCCGAACAGCAACTCGGCGCTTACGATCGACCGAGCGATCTGCGGGCTGCCAGAGATTTCTTTCGTTTCAGACGACTCTAGAATTCCAAATAATAGGGGTCATTAACTTAAGTTCACATAAACCTGTGGTGTGCCTTCTCTGCCTTGACACGCTTATCAAACGACCCTAGCTTCTCCCATGGTCTGGGACACATGTGGGCGTCCGTGGTTCCTTTCGTACCAGAAGGATCAGTTTCTGGCCAACTAACAACAGTAATTGATCACTCAATTAGAAACTAGGAATTTTCTCTATAAATTGCCATGAGTGGATGCGCGTCAACGCTGTTCGGTTCCACTGCTTTTAATCATGGGCGTATGCAAATACCATTTGTAGCATAGCCTATGCGATGTCTGCAAGTCTGAATAAGGATGGCAAATGACCCCTTGCCCTGTCCTAATGGACTAACGGTACGCAAACAGAACTCCTCAACAATGCTCTACAGTGCTCATGCTCCCAGCTAAGTTTTCTTTTGCTTGGATGTGGGGCTGCCCTGCAACTTGAGTTGTAGCAAGGTGCGTCGCAACTCATGGCAGGCCGCCCCCTCTCCCGCAGCTCTAGGTGTGCAACCCGGTGTAACCAGCATGCATAAAATGTTTGAGGGGGACCAATTACACGTAAGAAGCTCTCAGCGTATGTAGGTGGTTCCTTTGCAGGTCATAGTAGTCGTCAGGTAAGATCCACGACCAGCACTACACCATGGCTGAATTGAAGCGCACAAAAACACATAGTGATTTACTTGATTCCGCGTGGCAATTATGAGGAAGAAAATGACGTTATCACGTTGTTCACAGCAAATGTCCCAGACGCTCTCTATCTGCTACAACGCCACATGCAAGCTGGGATCTGCTTCTAGATTTGCATATATTGGACGCATAAGTACCCGTATGTCTACAACAAAGCCCCCCCTAAGCCGGAGACTTTCAAATAGGCTTATGAAGATCGTAGCTTGCAGCGTAATCAAAAGCTTCCAACAGTAGTGATCAAGTGCAACTGTTGTCGCTCATGTTCCCAGGCTTCGCGGGCACAGGGACTGAAGCTCTTGAGGAAAGGAGGAACAAGGGACGCCCGCATTGAGCTGCGTCATCTGCTGTACTGCTTCTTTCCGTAAATCTAACCACAAGGCAAACAGGCATGCACCGAAACATCATTAGCAAGGGGGAACGAAGCCCGACGGGCCCTTCCGAAAGCTTGGCAAACTCCTTTGGTTGGGGGCTCTGTCACCTCTCAGACGGCGCCAACCCTCTCAGAACGACTGGCCGGGTTAAGGGGGATTGCGGGTCTTTGTTTTTCGTATATTGTTACCTGTGCGTTTATTCATAGTTGTTGGGCGTGTACAAAGTGTTTACGGAAAGATCATGTTGTGGACTCATGGCGCTAGTTGCCAACTACCAGCCTCTTTTCTGGCTCTAGCAATGATGTTCCGATGTTGACTATCATCGGCTGCATCGAAAATGAAAGTGTTGGTGTATTATAGGCTGATTCGGCCCAGGCAGACCAAGCCACTTTCACCAGCTATGCTTGAACTAGGATGAAAAATATTATAAGAATAAAAATACCACAAATATTGTGTAAACAGGCAGATTTTGCTTTGTGTTCGGCCACCAAGCTAGTGCCGCTCCTCCGCTGCCACTTTATACTCAATGCGATAACAAGCTATGAATTCGTGCTAGAAAACGCGGCTTCAGCAGAGGCAGAAGCAGATGGACACAATTGTTAAGTAGCCACAATCAGTCACGTGGTGAAGCTCAGGTGAACCCGATTAAGGAATGAAACAGGCGTATTTGTCGATCCTCACCTGAATAAATGTTGTCGCAGCCTCTGACAGAGAAACTCTGGTGAGAAGCCTAGTGAGGTGCCTTTCCATGTCCTTGGAACTCGGAAGGTTCTACACTTGTCCACGTTTAACCATTTTTGTCGCCTTAGATGACGAAAACCCTGAGGAGTGAGGGCATGCTGCTCAATCTGATGGCGCGTTCTGGGACACCCAGTGGAACTGAGCACCTTGTGGGACACGCACTGGAACTGAGCTCCCCCACCAGTTTTGTGTTGACGTTGGCAAACACCATGCACTATGCTTGAAAATACATGACAGCACAATCCTATGTGCGTTGCACCGCGAGACAGCACACCGTTCTGGCATGTATAGAGCATTTAGGAGAAGTATACCTGTCACGCACAAACGCTGCTGAACAGTAGAGCATCCGGAGGTATGTCGGCGACGACATTTTCGGTAACCGTTATATGCTTGGCTGGCAATTCGTACTGCGTGGTATCACTTCACGGTAATGAACATTTTATGTCAGGTGTGTCAGGGATTGCTGGTTTGTTTGCAGCAGAGCAGAGTGCAGTGTCAGTAATGTTGACACTTATTCACTCCCCACCAATCAGTGCAGCATGGTTTACGCGCAGTTCCTTAATTCTCAGTTAGTTTTTTAAATTACCACTAGTTGCTCGAAGGATGGATGTTAAGAAGCGAATTGGCGCTCCACAATCAACTCATTGTTTGCGCTTGCAGAAAAAGAGGGCTTGGCTTTGCCTTCACGCGGGTTTGCCTTGCATCGTTACTTGCAGCCACGTGCATTGCACTGTCTGCGCTGCGCTAAAACACAACTCACGCTGCCTCATCTCCTGCATCAACAGGCGCTTGGTCCGCTGGGACCAGGACGCGCGGAGAGTTGTCTGTCAGAGTTTCATGGATTACCATGCCCTCCCTGCCTTCGGCGAAGCCTATTCGGAGAGAGTGTGCCAATGACGTACGCAGGTAGGTGACACCTCCTTGGCTTACCAGACCATATCAGATCCAGTTCATTGTGTGTGTAAAGCGCCACTAGGGGCTTCCATTAAATAATAGAGTCTTGAATAGTACTAACTTGGATACACTGTTGGTTTTGTGTGTTTATTCTTAATTGTGTCGTCTCCAGTTTCCTTTAGGACCTGTGGATGAGCTGGTGTCCTGGGGGGGAAATAACCAGAACGGTGGCTTTTTGGCCACCATATTGCAACTCCCAGCACGTTTGGAATGTCAACAAAGGCGCACTTGTTCTGAGTAAATTGCTTACGCGTTGATGATACTTCCGGCGGGATGCTAGACGAACAACGCGCTTGTTGGAAAGCGACGATACAACCAGCCGCCGATCGAGTGCCTGCGCGAGGGCAGTTCTATATCAGTCGTCGCTTTCCAACAAGCGCGTTGTATCTACATTTATTCGAATTGGAGGGAGTCTAAATCTTTGACAAGGATTCCTGAATGAATATTTAGTGGACTGGAAGGCGCCTCCATTAGGAAAAGAGGGCATAAGTTCTGGCAGCAATCTGTAGAAGGAATTATCTGAACTGGTTTGTGTGCAAGCCTCTGCTGCTGCAGCTACTCGGGGACCCCTTATCCCCGAATATGACGAAAAAAAAAAAAGACTGCGCCTTGATGCGGCTGCTGCAGGTTGGTATAGCCGAAACGCGGCGCATGTGGCAATAGCCAATACAACTGGCCTCTTTATTGTGAGAGTGAGGTTTGCAGCTCTTCTCTGCCATATGAGCCGTGCAGCGCTGCCAGTCTTGTTCCTGGAAGAGAACTGTCATGAAATGCAAAAGGCCCAACGACTTCAGTGCTCTCAAAAAGAAGTGGACCAATTCGGCCCCTACTTCCCTGCGCAACGAAGCGTCCTCGATCTTATTCAAGGACTGTCACGAGCTGCAGTGGCCAACCTTGTCAGTCTCCAGACATCATGAGCACAGCAGCTGGAGCGCCTAGAGCTTCGGGAGAGGTGGCCTGGCAAAAGTTGGAACGCACTCTGCGGCACGCCACAGTGCAAAGTAGCCCTGCCTGCAGGCACAACCAAACCTTCTGTGCCACACGCACTAACAAGGACAGTTGCTGATGAAGATTTCTGTCGCTGTGTAGGCTGGGCTCATGACCAACCCAAGACTGCTTGCTAGCGTCAAACAGAATCTGCTATATTCTGCGCAGATGGGCGCCAGCACCCCGAACTGGTGGGGGCAAGTGAAAGCCTGACGAGAGTTACAACGCGCCTTGGTGCACCTACAGTTGCGGGGCAAGAGAAAAGTGGGCCAGCACTTTAAGCAGTTGTCGAGCAGATACTTGTCCCCCTGCAGCCGACCGGCATGCAAGTGAAAATATACAAAGCAACTGCATACGCAGAATGCTACACAACTTCACCTAATGACGGTCTTCGCCTATTCTCAATGACTCGCCTTAAGCTCCCAGTAGAAATATGCACGAGTGTAGATACATGATGCACGCCCTGGTGACGTGGGCCAGTGCTAAAGGTTTCCTTGAATATTAGTAGCCAATACGCACCCAAGCATAAGTTCCACTTACCTCTGAGAAAGCCTGTGGCGGAACCAGTGGCCACACTCGTCTACAGCACGGGAAGGGGACGTGCCACAGCAGGTTTGCCTGCACCCTGAAATCCCCTATGCTCACAAATATTAGACGAACTACACATTTTTTGTCAACAGGGCCAAATCTAGAGTTCACTCTGGTGCGAAACGAACTAGCCTGCTGGGTTCAAGCAACATAAACTAGGGCACCATATTGGAGGAGGGCCCTTCCAAGCGGGCCCCCTATTCAAGGGCCCCCTACGCAGCAATGAACACTCGCCGGTGTTCGTTTCAGCAGGCCTGTCCTTACCTTCTACAAGTTTTTGTGTGAGACAGAATATTGTGTAGAACACTTCCTAGGCTGACCTGTTTGGATGCCTTTAACACTGCCGCGGCGGTGAGTGCTGCTGCCACACGCTGCATTTCAGGCATGCTAAAGAGGGGCTCATGCCTTACGCTGTCTAATCACATATCGTTATTATGCACTCCTGGTTTTCGGATAGAGCGTAATTTGGTCTTTCTACTGTTTTTAATGTGGAAGTCTGTTATTCTAAAGGCAGTAGCAACACACGGAGGCCCCGTTGGTACCGGTGCTGTACTACCCGCTCCTGCAGCAGGTTTTGGAACAAGGGGGGAACTGGCGGCTGAGCCGGCTTTACCAAAAACATCAGCAACAGCAGCAGCAGGGCGTAGTGCGGGCGTATCGCCAAAACATTCTACCAACGTCACGACCAGTTTCTAGAAGGAACTCCCGCTTGTGCTACATCTGCAGCAGCCATTGGAGACCGCTGCAACATTGGCTGTAGGAGGAGCCAGACGATGCCTGTGCTGCTGCTGTTTCCACTTGCCTTAGCCCTGTCCACGGGCAACGCCGCATCTGCGGGTTAGCCAACCTCTAACGGCAGACCCTCGGTTGCCGATCATTTCGATATATTCCCCTACTGAAGAATAATGCTATCTTGCATGGTACTGCATTTTCATGTTGCCGCAGTCGCTAGGGGGGTCAAGTGTAGGGATTACGAACTCGGGCTGGGGTATACGGTTCGGGGTTTGTGCGCGTAGAGCGGGCCGCGTGTCTACGCCGCCTGAGTTTTGATGGACGTCCCCCTCAAGACCAGCGAGCGTTCTCGTTCCGTGCCTGCAAAGACCATGCAGCAAACAGTGAGCAGAATCTGTCATTGCTGCTGCTGTTTTGCCGGAAAGGGAGGCGCGGCGAGGGTATGCGATTAGCAGCGGCGACGCTTGTCGTGGTGTGGCCGCCACGTTGCTACTACAGAGAGGAGGACCGTGAGAGCTGTTATTCTGTGTTTTCTGTCCCTGAGGCTGCAGCCTGCTGTTATCCTCAGCACACTGAGCTCATTAAGAGGCGCTTAGGGTCTCTGGAAGACAACTCCTGCCAAGTGGGTCATTTCCGTTGCTGTGGTTGGGTCCCTTTCTGCTGTAGCTGGAGGTACTGTTGCTGCTGCAGCTTGAGGTTTAACCAGGAAAGATGCACCTGCTACTTGTGATCGGGTTGTCGTACCGTATTTGCATCAACTGCTTTGTATACATTACTCTCACTGTCCGCTGATGGGCGTAGCGCAGCCGCTGCTGCCCCAGTGGCTCCTCAGCATGTTTCTTTCTCACTAGTGTCCGGCATGCATTCTCAGCACGTGAACTTGATGCCGTAGTCTGTTTGTGTTGCTGCAGACGGTTTCAGAGGAAGTTTTGTGCGTCATGTGTGAACCGCGTTTCGGCACGGGGGAATACGAGAGCAAAGGCAAAGCCGTATTGTGTCCAGAGCTTTGTGAAAAGTGGTGAGGAGCTAGGGTTTGCGGTTTGGGGGATAGAGGGCTTCACGTTCTCTGGGTGCTCATTCATGTGGAACTTTTAGAGATATAAGGTGGTTGACGGTGGCGCGTCGAAGCCCGTTGAGCAGTTTACACAGGCATAGCAGCAGGACCGGCGTGTATGCATGGTTTACTGAATCCGAGAGTCCAGGATTTCTAGGCCGTGTGTTCAGGTTCAATGCATGCAAGGAAGAGTTTGTATCCGCCTCCCCTTCGGGGAGCAGCAGCGCCCTGACCTTTTGCGAAGACAGCTCCCTTATCTGCTCTCGGCTCTCCGCTAGTGAGCGGTTCCACCCGTGCTGCTGTTGCTACAGCGACTAATTCTGAAATTGCCGAACTTCCCAGAACAACCCTCGTTTCAGGCTCAGCCGACGAAACCTAACGTGTGCATGCATGTACTCATTTAACACAGATATGCAGCTGCCCATGCGCTTATCACTTGTTTGGTTGAATTGAGGCGGTGTCGTGTCTCCCTGCATTCTTCGCCGTGTGCAGCGTTGGGAGACAGTATCTCATTCTGCCGTCAGATGGGCTATGAGGTCCCAGAGGACGATGGCGGAGTTTCTTTAGGAAGCTTTGGCCAGAGCAGACCTAGCTGCTTCAACGGTGAGGGATAAGGGTGTGAACCTCTATAGCCTGTCTGCAGTGCAAGCGGTTGGAAGACAGTTGGGCGTTTGCGCCCCCTGTCTCATTTGTGTTGGGGGTGGCGGGCTCTGTTTGTTGCCTTCAATGGAGGGGGGGGAGGGGGAGGGCGGGCTTACTTAGGGTTTGGCTTTTAGAGGCAGTAGTTTCAGGCTTAGCATTTCCTGCAGGCGTTCCAACGGCTTCATTTGGTGCCGCGCCGAAGCGCTCGGAGGGCAGCGAGGGCTACAGGCGTAGGCGCGACTCGCAAGATGATTGGCAGGAGTGGTTTCGGGGGATAGGGCTTGCAGTCTACGAGGTACTATGCCGGCCGGAGGTCTGGCTCCTCTTGTTGGTGCTGGGCTTTTTGCTGAATCAGTTGGTGCAGCAAGCTCGAGATATAATGTTGACGCAGATGCAAGAAGAGAAGCTGCAGCGCCGGCAACAGATTCTACAGAGATACGGCGTCGAAGAGGAGGAGGAAGAGATTGAGACAGTTCCAGCTGCAGATGAAAAGGATAGTGCGACTCTACATGACAGAAGGGAGGAAAAGACAGAGGGTAGTGAGTCGTCGCGATGCTCTTCCCCATACCGCATGACTGCGATGGAGGGCTCTTAAGCACAGCAAGGGCTCCTAACTACAAAAGCATGCCCCAGGAAGAAGGACCCATTGGGTAACGTGGTTATTCGATGCCGGCGTGACTCGCTCGAAGGCCAGCCGTCTTCTCGTCATCTGTTCACTGCGACGCACTGCACAATCTAAGATGCAAGTGTGAGTTCAGGGGAAGTTATGGACACACGTGCACATACATGATTGGCCGTCTTTGGGATAACGCGGTAGATCAATACCACGTTTTGTGATTCATGCGTACACCACAGATTGGCAAAAGACCTCGGCTCTGCCTTGAACCAACGGCACACTCACTGTGTCAGTTCCTACAGGAGCTTTGTACAGTCATTCCCCAGATTTCTCACGGGGCTGCACTCATTGTAGGGATTATGACCTGTATCTCAGGGTTATGGACCCTGAAGGGGTTTGAGGCTTTGCTCGCGGATCTCTTGCCAGTGCGTTTGCTGTTTAACAAAAACTGGTAACGGACGTACATACATGAAGCTAGATAAATTTACAGCCCTAAGGATGGAAATACCCAAATTGTAATTTTTGTAGAGGCGAAGGGCTTGGAAATGGATTCTAGCGAAGACCTGGGCTGGCGCCTTGTGACAGTCAAAGGATCAGGAGAACTGCGCGGGACTTCGTTTAGAGGGACGGCCGCCCCCTTTGTCGGCCACAGCAGATTAATCAAGAGCCCCACTGAGTGCAGGCAGCGGTGGTAGAAGTTAACGAGAGGAAGTGCATGCACTTCCTGATGAAAAGTCGTCATCGGTGGTAGGGTTGGAGTTGCATTAGGTGTATGGTACCTCCCGTTTGTCTTCGCGCTCGGGAGTGTACTAGCAAGCGTTGTTCAGGGATGCATCAGTAGAGGCGGACGCCAAGAACTGTACATGTCCGTGCATTAGGTGTTTTTCTACAACTCACGTAGACAGTGGCTTTTCGGACGCGATGTTAAGCCCTGCGTCATCGGAGGACCACAACAAAGCGCTGCAGTGGGGTCGTGTAGCCGCCCTCATCTCAAGTTGTACTCTTATTCATGGATGAAACGGTTTGGCTGTAGCATGGTTAGTGTTAGCAGCGCTATCATATTAAATTTGGGTCTTCAGTAGGCGCTCTGAGGTCAATGGTTAGAAGGCAGCAATCCCAGGGGAGTTGTAGGGGTTAGGGATGAGTATCGAGGAACACCTCATAAAATAGACAATAGCCTTAGAGAAACAAATGACAACGAATAAGAAATGGACAACGTACGGTGCGCAACAACTAACACAAGGTGTTGCGTGATCGCCCCGTCGAGGGCCCCCTCGCAACCGTCTAGGGCCCCTGTATGCATTGCAGGCTCTCATGGGGCCTGCGTTCAGGGAAGCCTCACAAGGTTGTAGCGAAGCTTATGCGACTTTTGTAATGGATTTTTAGCTATATTTGTTTGACACCATGTGTGTGAGACTGGCAGACTAGTGATAACGACTGCTGGCCCATAGAATACATTTGACAGGGGCACTTGGAACCCGTTAGCAACGTGTTTATCGGGTTTCGTTTCACTTGAATGTTTGAAATGGTTAGTGGAGATTCAGGGATCTTCGTGGTTGTTGCGAGCTTCTGCTTCCCCTGACGCATATACCCTATGCAGACAACGAAGCGTCAGGGGAGCACGGACACTGCGGCAAAGGCCAAGAAAAAATAAAATGGAGCTGAGAGTGTTTCTGGCAACTACCAGTCTCCAGGCCTTCATGCGCCCCGGCAAGAGCCTGTAGCATGCAGCTACCAAATGAGACAGCATGACTACTCGAAGTCTGTTCATGTCGTCGGGAGCTAGCTACAGCAGAGGCACTCGTTGCAGACACAATGGAGGACCAACCTGCGTACGAAGGCATAGTAAAACCTCATTGTTCCCTCATTTCGACAGAGGCTGCAGGAGCCGAAGTACTTCCTTCACCAGCTAATGGCGCTGAACACTTGGTCCCGAGCGGCGCCTGTGCTGGCCCCCGTAAAGGGTGTAGCCCTTCACCTTTTGGTGAAGCAGCCATCCCTGCAGGTGGAGTTCAGGGCCTCAAGACACGTAAGAGGCCCCACTGGAAGGCAGATTGCCCCCAGGAGCAGCAGATTCCAAAAGGCCCCAGTGTTCAGCTCCTGAGCACTTGTGCTCCGTGTGGGGCCAATGAATTGGAAGAAAGAAACGAGGACTGTGTGGTGGAGGTGGAAGGCCGTGGGAGTGTACGTACACCTGCAGACCTTCCTGGTTGCACAGAGACCGATATTGAAACTGCTTGCCGTGAGACATTTTTATTTGCAAACGCCAAAGCCGGAATGGACATGACGGAGGAAGAGAAGGCGAAAATAGCAGCGAAGATATTCGAGCTTTCGAAAAATTCCCCTTTTTTTGTCAACGAGATGCGGTGTGCAGGAAACACACATCATAGACAGGCAGCAAACACACGGGGAGTAGGGCAGCCTACAGGCGGAGAGAACAAACAACAAGCTGAGGTACACAAGTGGAGAACAGGCGAAGGACGAGGGCAGGGATAAGTGGCATGGAACGGTGCCCGCAGGATGGATAGTTATTACATGTGTTTTGAGTGTGCGTCTGTGTATGTGCTTCTATGTGTCATTTTGCCGTTGACAGGAAGAAGAAGCAAATGGAGGAACAGTTGGCTGTGCTGCGTCGGCGAGTACAGCTTTTTGCGTCTTGCGGTGGCTGCGCTGAAGCATCGGCTGCAGCGCGTCGCCTGCTTCAGTTGTTGCAGCAGCAGCAGCAGCGGGAGTCAGGCCGTGTGTACGTGCACTTGGACATGGACATGTTCTTTTGTGCAGTAGAAATACGCGATGATCCCTCTTTGGGATCACAACCGGTGGCTGTGGGAAGTTTGTCTATGCTATCTACGGCCAATTATGAGGCGCGGCGTTTCGGCGTTCGCTCTGGCATGCCGGGATTCATTGCCAAGCAATTATGCCCTTCTCTGACGATTGTGCGGCCCAACTTCGAGAAGTACAGGGCCGCTGGACAGACAATTCGCGCAGTCCTTCAGGCCTACGACCCGTCGCTCTCCTCCCATTCCCTTGATGAGGCTTCCCTGGACGTGACAGACTGCCTCAAGTGCGCCCCATGCCGCCGTCTCCTCTTTATCACTTCGTCGCATCTCGTTTGCTTCCTCTCCTGCGCCTTCGCTCTCATCATCGTTGCCTCTTTGTTGTGTCAATTCGTCTGTTTCACCGCTGCCTTCACCTGCCCCCCCTGTTTTCGTTGCCGTTGTGTCTCCGCTACTTGCTCCCTTGTTTCCTGTGTCGACTTAGCGCTTTTGCTGCCCAGTGCTCCTTGTTGACTCTATGCATCTCTTTTCGTTCCGGTGACTATGATGCAGGAAGCGATTCTCTCCTGCAGATGCTGCCGCACTCCTCGACCCTACAAAAGTCACGGAAGGGAAGACAGAAGAGATGAAGTCACTAACAGCAGCAACAGCAGCGATGGAAGCGACCGGTAGGGTAACAGCGCTTGTATCTGAAATTCGTGCCGCTGTTACAGCAGCCACAGGCCTAAGTTGCAGCGCCGGCGCTGGATCGAGTCGTCTAGTAGCGAAGATCGCATCGGACATGAACAAGCCGAACGGACAGAAGATTGTAGAAGCAACAGGAGCATCTCCTCAAGCAGCCGCAGCGGCAACAGCAGCCTTTTTAGAACCGCTCAATGTGCGTAAAATACCAGGGATCGGCAAGCACAGAGAGAAGATGTTAAATGCATTTGATATACACACTTGCGGGGAACTGCTGCAGCAAGCGCCACTGCTGGTGCACCTGTTGCCGCGAATCACAGCGGTCCACCTTATACGCATGGCTTTGGGAATCGATGGGTTGCCTCCTGAGCTGCAGCAGCAACACCAGCAATACCACCAGCAAAGCGTAAGCTCGGAAGAAACTTTTGCAGCAACCAACGAGCTCCCATTGTTGCGTCAGGTGGTAGAGCAGCTGGCTGCAGCCGTAGCCAAGCAGCTGAAGGAATTGAGGCAAGAGGGCGACCACATAACGCTTAAGGTGAAGTTCGCAGACTTTTCTATAAGAACAATCTCGCATCGCCTCGCACAGCACACGGACGACGGTGCAGTAATTGCAACAGCAGCCCAAGGGTTACTGCAATCCGTCATGAGGGAGCAGCAGCTCAAAAAGCAGGCAACCACCAAGAACAATAAGAGCAGCAGCAACAGCAAGGGCAACGTCAACGGCGCACCTACATGGGTGCGGCTGCTGGGCGTGCGATGTTCGGGATTTAGACATGCGAAAGCACGCAGCACAGGGCTACGTCGGCTGGATGAGTTCTTTTCACAGCAGCAGCAGCAGAAACCACCAGGTGCAACTACAGCAGGTGCTAGCGAAGACTGGCCAGTCGACATTGATGAGCTCGACGACCTGCTCTCAGTGCTCTCTCAGCATCAGCGCGAAACGGCACTAGCAAATCCTGCGGCACCCGCGGAGAGAGAGGCAGCAGCACCCCCACCAGCTGTAGGGTCTGAAGCAGCAGCAGCACCTCCACGAAGAATGGAGCTGCAAGCCACAGCAACAGCAGCAGCACCTGTCCTAGCTTCTACATGGCGGACGAGGGACGCCCCGGAGAAAAAGGCTGAAGCGGCAACAGAACCAGCGATATCAGAAACAAACGAAACTGGGCCACTCAACGTTGTTGCCGCGAATGAAACTCCAAAACTCAAGGTTGCTGTAGTTCAAAGTGCTGCTGAACAGCAGCAAAGGAGTCGGACTGTTGACGCAGAGACGAACAGCAGAAGCAGCCAAAAAGTCGTTATTACAGGGGTGCGGTTTAACGTTACCCCACAATGCAAGCAACAGCAGCGTCGTCGCCTTCCTTCTCCTCCAATTCACGAGCGACTGATGCACCAAAAACAGCGAAAGGGGAGGCAACAATTGCAACTGCTGGACCTCTTAAATGGTCCAAGCAAAAGAAAACGAGATAGTCGGAATGGGCAGGAAGAAAACCTCCAACGAAACAGGGGGCAACGACAAATCGCAAGTGAAACAGTGGTTGTTGAAGTTGTCAGTGACTGACTGCCAGAAGCTTCACCTACACCAGCAACAGCAGCCCTAGCAGAGTCTGCCGCAGCCGAAAGCGGGCTTTGTGGCCGCTGAGGCTGGAGAAAATGCTCTCCTCCACTTTTTTTTCGGCGAATAAGACTACGACGGACCCCTAAATGCAGTGTACGCCAGCCAAGCGACTCGCAACTGATGTTAGTTGTTGCAGAAAAGAATTATCGCCTAGGGTTAATGATATCGGCACCAGCTACAGAATTGCGCTGACAGCATTGCTGAAACAGTCGCAGTTGTTTTTGGCACAGCCTCCAGTCCCTGAACAGACAAAAGAACAGTTGCTTATGTTTTTTCTTTAGTGCGGCTGCCTGCGGGTGTCGTGTCCATTCTCCAACAGTATGCGTGCTGCCGGCCTTCTCTCTTGCCGTGCCTCCCCACAGGGCTGTAGCGGCTACTGGCTGCAGTGGGCGTTGTGCCCCACGGGGCCACAATGGCGCCACATTCGCTCCCCCCCCCAACGCTGCATACCTACATGTCTGAATAGGAAATCGCTCTGGTGCAAATGCAGCATAGGGAATGTAACTTGAGGCCAAAAGAAACGGGCAGTCGCGAGAGGACAAGACCAGACGTTGCGCATGTGAGAAATTTACGGGCGCGTGCACCTACATTAACTGCAGCATGATTGCCATATACACCGAACTCCTACTTGTCAGTTTCATCCAAACAGTCCTGTAGTTTTGCATACTCCTCAGAGCATCCTGTCCCGACGATCTTATCATCCACATCTTCTCCGTAGTGCGGATTTGCCCGAGCTGCAGAGACGGTCTCGCCTTTTTCCATAGACGCAGGAGGTACCCACGGGCTATTCCCACCCATAAGATGCGGACTTCCCTTTCCCCCTTCGGCAGCTTTGCCAGTTCCTTTGGGGCCTCTGCCAGATCCCTCGGGAACACCGGTGGGTCCCCGGGGATACTTATCTTGCGAAGGGGAATCCATTTGGGCGCACAGCCCACAAGGAAGCTCAAGCAAGAAGTTATTACTGTCTAGCGGTACAAATAAGCATCTTTTCTTCAACTTCTCAGCATATATTTAAACTTCGGCGCCCCGACGCCTCCAGCCTTAGACACAATGGATATTCACTCCCGAGACATCACAGCTCGGCAAAACAGTGTCAGGGCTCCTACAGTAATAAACTGAAAATTGCGTTAAAGCAAGAAGAAATACACGGGAATGCCCCAGGCTGCCAGTTGTCGCGCTCAGCTCGTCTTCTGGGGCCCCACGACAGGGCCCCTGGAGCCCTGGCAACTGCAGGAGTTGTGGAAAGGTGTAGAGTGTCTGCAGATATATGTCTCTGCTTTCCAGTGCCAGTTAGTGGGCATTCATAAGCTGTACTGGCTTCAACTGCTGATGTGCCCACGAAGGAGGTCGGCGGCCGACTCACCCGCGTAGGGCCACTGCTATGACCGCGCACGGCTGGGTGCGTCGAGTCCTACACTCGGCCAACATACAGCGGAACAGAATGCGAAATGAATCGGTGGCAGCTCTGTTTGGTTATTTTCCCTCAAATTTTTCCGTTTTTGCTTCTGCTACTGCTGCTTCTACCACTGAGCAGCAGCGAACGGCACACAGGTAGCAGCGTGAGCCTAGCGGGTAGTCGAAACATTCGACTGATCGGGGGGCTGAGGGCTGTCAGCAATGCAGAACAATGGGCAACCGTGAGACCAACATCATGGCTACACCAGCCACCGCCGTCGCTATTCAATCTTCCACGCAACAAAGCATGGGTGCGAAGCAGCAACAGCCGCTGCTGGTGCACGGGTTCCAAGCCGGGGGCCGGTTTAGCACCAGCACCCTCAGGTAACAATAAGCAGGACTCCCCGTGTCGTCTGTTGGGTGGAGGGGTCTCCCTCGACCCCTCTCTTGTTTTTGCTCTTGCAGCACGACGCCTACTGCACCAGGAACTGCAGCAGCTGTGCCATCCCGGCTCAAGCCCACCAGCAACAAAGGATGCTACTACTTCTGCTGATTCTGCTGCCATTTTCACGCCAGTAACGGTCGAAGGTGGCAGTGGAGGAAACGGGTCAATCGCTTTTCTTCGCCTCAAGGCGGCACCCCGCAGCGGCGCTGCAGGGGGCAGCGGAGGCCGGGGAGGTTGCGTGCTACTGAGGGCAGTGGGGGCATTCGACGAATCAGCAGGTTCGCCTCGACGCCTCTCGGCGCTAAGAGAAAGCGGCTCCTGGAAAGCGTCGTCAGGGGGAATAGGCGCAGGACAGGGGAAAACCGGGGTGCGTCGGACTGTTCGCTGCTTCCGCTTTTCGCAGCCAAGCTGCTGCGGTAACTGCTGTTGTGGTGGCTGTTTCTGCGGTTCGATTCAAGGTCTGCAGCCTGGGGCTGGACTTGCACGGCTGGTGGCACCCGATGTTGCCCGTGCCAGAAACTGCCGCTTGTACAGCGCATGCAGAGACTTGTGCTGGTGCTGAGAAAAGGTTCGCTACTGCACTTGGTGTGTTTTTTTTTGCTTTAGGCCCATGGCCCTGATCTTCTGCTGGGGATTCCCCCGAACACTCTTGTTGTCGACGTCACCGCTGTGCAGGCGCATGCAGCTGGTGCGATGCGGCGCCTGCTGCTGGAGCAGCAACAGGATGGCGAGGCAGCAACCGAAGTGGAGGTGGAGCAGCAAAAGCAGAAGAAGAGGCATAAGCAGCAAGATGACCAGCAGCCTCCTCTGTGCTGCATTTACTTCGCATCCCCCGGAGATACCCTGGTTGCTGCTCGGGGAGGGTCGGGGGGCCGAGGCAACTTGGCCTTTGTTTCAAATCAGTAAAATTTTCCCCTTATTCCTCCACTTTTCTACTCTTCCCAGTATCACCCGTATTAGCGCGTGGAGACTCAAGCGTATACTGCGACAGAAACGATCTGAACGGTCGATGCTGCGGGTCATCTGTCATTACTGCTGCTTCTCCCGAAAGTATTGCTGCAGTCTTTCCTCTCCTGTGTTACTGCAGCAATAGACATCCCCTCCTGGGAGAGATGGGGTCGTCCGGCGAGCGGAGAAAGCTGCTGGTGCTCCACAACTTTAGTGATTTTGTTGTTGTGGGCCGCATGCAGAGCGGCAAGTCCATGCTGCTGCGGGCACTTTCTGCAGCGGCTACATCCAATGCTGCAGCAACAAACCCTGGAAACGTTGATGCGACTGCATATTCCACTGCTTACCAGCGTGGAGCTCATTACCCAGATGCGGTAACAGATCGGCGGCCCGGTGAGCACCAGCAGCAACACCAGCAGCGGGAGCGGCAGCAACAACAGTGGCTGTCAGCTGCAGTTCCAGATGACGTGTGGCTTCCCACTGCCGAGCCGACCGTCTGTGTGATCCCTGCCCCAACGTCCCAGACAGCAAAGCTCAATAACCTCGCACCTGAGCAGATGCCTTCAGTGCACCAGCAGCAGCAGCAAGACGGTTTGGTGGGTATGCTACAGCAGGGCGTCGCACTCGCCTCAGGAGCACCGATTGTAGCTGTCGATACTCCGGGGCTGCTACCTCCAGCAGCTTCCCCAGTAGCAGCAGCAGCAGCAACTGCAGGGGGCATGCTGGCGCCAGCAGGGCAGCTACAGGAGGAACCCCTTCAGGGTCTCAGCGCTGCAACCGCCGTTCTGTTTGTCGTTGATAGCTCCCAGCCTGTGAGAACCACCCGTATATTTGCGAGCAGGCATCTCAGAAATAGCACGTGGTCTGAGCTGCCTCTTTGCTGCACCATGCCGCTGGAGTTTGTCCCGTAGCTTTAACTGTCGTGGTCCTGCGGTGGGGACTGTCTTCTCAGGACCCCGCACAAGAGTGCCTGACGTTACGGCAACAGCTGTTGCAAGCAAATCCGCAGCTTGCCGACTTACCAGTCATCGTGGCCCTTAACAAAATAGATCTGCTGCAACAGCATCAGCGGAAGCAGCAGCGGGGTACGAGTCAAGCATCAAGTCTGGTGGAAAGAGTAAGAACGATTACTGGGATTGGAGAAGTCTACGCAGTCTCTGGTAGGTGGCACAGCTGCTGTCTCCGCAGTTCCCACTGGAGTTGTTGCCGTTGCTGCTGCTCGTTGATCATTTACAATATGCCTAGTCGCATATTCAAAAGTTGTCATGCCCACTCTACTTTGCTGCAGTGAGGATGCCTCGTGTGCGTTTTCTCTGCCTTAGCTTTGGGTGGCGACGGCTGCGGTGACCTCCTCGGTGCCCTTCGAAAGGCTGCACGTGTCGCAGACGTTGACGCACAACAGCAGCAGCTGCTACTGTCTCACTTTGAGCACCAACAGCAGTATCAGCAACAGCAGAAACAGTTGAGCCCAGGAGCGTACAACCTAGCATTTTTAGCAGCGTACTCAGAAGCTGCAGCGTTGGCGTCTCAAAGGCTTCTGCTGTTTACTGTTCACGAGCTGCAGCAGCAGCAGCTGCATCCTGGTGCTAGTTTGATGCGACGCCCTGCAGCAAGTCCACCCCTGCGTGTTTCCACCAGCAGTAGCAAGAAGCATCCGTACCCTTCTTTTCCTTCCCTTGAAGATCCCTACAAATGGATTATCGTAGAACTTCGGGAGCAGGGGGCGTTACAACGCTTGCTGCAAACCCAACAGGTGTTGCATGCCTCTCCAGACTTCGCCAGCGAAAGCAACATCAGTGCGTCTTCAGTATCCGCGCCGTGTAGCAGCACCTGCTGTAGGAACAGCTGCAGCTACAGCGATGGAAGATCTTTTCGTTGCCATGTTTAGTTCCCTTATGTGCTGAAGCAACGGCAGCAACATCCGAAGGCTGTGCGGTAGCAGCGGTTCAGTCTGCTACCTAGCACACTTCCACGTCTGTAAGCAACCATGTGTTGTTGCACAGGAGGGCGGCGCTGCTTTGAATTGAGAGGGCCTCTTGTCTCCCTGCTAACTGGCCCTGTGAAGTTTGACAGTGAAGCAGCGAAGCTCCGGCTATATAGACAGCTCATTGCACTCGGAATAGTAGAGGTAGGGATGTCGGCAACTCGAAGCGTCCATTTTCATCCACATATGAATCAATGTGCATGCAGGCGCTGGCGTGCTGGCATATACTGATTGGCAATGCTCGGAATTTGCGTGCAGCGAGCCTTCACAGACCACAGCGCCAGCATAGGGGACTACCTCTTAGTAGGCCCTGTTCTACTGCAGCTGCTGCCTCTCCTGCGCCATTATAGAGGACGACAGAATACACAGCAAGTACCCCTCTGGGGTGGAGATAATTGGGGCATTTTTGAGACGGACGGCCTTCCCATGAAAGTATGCTGTAGGCATGGGCGCTAGAGCTGTATGCTGTATACGTGCGTTCCCGTTCGCTTTCGGTGTGTTATTGCACGGCATGTTGCAATCTATGTACAGCTGAGCAGGCTTCAGTTTGCGTGGGTGGAATGTACGTATCAGGATCGACCTGACACAACGACTGCTTCGGTTGCTGCTCTTGCTGGGAGTGAAGTGGCTAAGGGTCCCACGGACACAATACCGCGTAATTTGTGGGATGCATCCCTGAGTCCCAGCGTGCGGCCGTAAGATTTTGCGGAAAGACTGTTTTAGTGGAACCGTGGAGTCTATTGTTTCTTCCCAGCAAAGCCAAATTAGACAGCAAGGCGAACGGGCAGACACGGGGAAAGAGCACAAACAGCCAACGGGACAAGAGGCACGGGACTACCCGCATTTGGCGCAGCGAAAGAGGGTACAAGCAGCAGACGAAGTAAGTATGTCGTTTGTCGCTTGTTTATCTTTCTCCGCAGGTATACTGCTACGGATCCGCGAGCAGGTCGCCAGAGGCGCAGAGTCCGTCGTAAGATCCCGCAGAACATTCGCCTCCAGCACTGACAACAGCGCGGTAATTCCTGTATAGCTGCAGTCAGACGGTTAGCCGAACCTGCAGCGGCGCCATTCTGTTGCGTGCACAAGCCTATGATTGCAAAATCACTGAAGAGAACTACGGTAGGTGCTGATAAGTGAGGATTTCCCAAGAGCGAACGCCAGATGCAGGCGCTTGTGCATGCACCGTCCAATTGTTTTCTTTTGGCGGTTTCGACCTATGCGCCGGATTTACTCTTCCATTGAGACATTTGAACTGCTTACTCATTTGCCTTCTTACTTCTGTAGGAGCCGTTGATGCCGGCTGGCAATATCCACAACTGCCGAATGCCCTAAGGCGGTGCGAGAATCGGATTAGGTGGATTTGCTCATAAATCTGCAGTACAATCTGTCGCTCCGTACACGTTAGAGCCGAAAATATGTAGTCAATACGTGTAATGGGGACGGTGGGGTGTTCGAGTTAAGGGATATCCAACATATGTTGGATATCCCATCACCTCTGTCTATTCAGAAGCGCGAGCCGCTCCCCCTATGTGCTGCGTACACAATGATTTAGAGATATGTTGGCTCACCTGTGCCAACAGTGGGTTCCTAGCTTGCCTTCGTGGGGACCTCACCAACGAGTAGCCCTGGTGTTGCCGCCCACTTCCCAAGCGTGGTTTATTTCTTCATAGAAGTAGGTTCCCCAGCATCGGACAGGTTTTGCACCAGCTTGTTCTTCCGCTCGCTCCACTTCGGTGGGTAGTTTATATTCAGAAGTGCCGATGCGAATCAAATACAGTATGCCCTAACACTGTAAATAATGTTGACGGCTTATGCTCGCTTGGCTGCTGCCTACTATGGCCGAGCACGGGTTCCCGTGCGAAATTCAGACAGACTTCCAACATCGTAGAGGCAAAGTATGCTACAACCGTAGAAGCAGACAATACCCAGCTGCGATGGAGCCAAAACACTTAAGACACGAGCTTTTACAAGCAGCTGATCTCTCCTTGGATCGCCAGGGGTTTCGGTTTCCAGGGCGTAGAATTCTGGAGTTGTCGCTTACGGGACGGAGTTTTCCATGAGGTGCAGTTTGCCAAAGCTCCTTTTGGAAGAAATCGTCATATGCAAACATGCAGCGAAGAGTCTCCCTGCATCCATTTTGCTTTCAGTAGCGACCCCGAGCTTCAGCATAAACCCTCCTGCCAACGGCAGTGACGTTTGCACCCAGTCTTCATTACTGCCCACAATGTATACCTACTCATGTATGACACGTCAAAGCCTAATGCAGCATGCAAAATATGTGAAAAAACTGTTCCCGTATAGTACTTGCGGTCAGAAGAGGAGTTGAACTGCGGACAGGATGGTTCGCCTGTGGCCCCGGAGGGATTCTGCAGATGAAAACTGCCGAAATTGCACTTCCTTTTGCACCGAAAAGATACATAAATAACGCCTCTGTGAGAGAGATCATGCTGCTCGAGAATAACTAGAAGCGATGATGGGCCGTCAGCTCCTCCAGCATAATTGACACAGTCTGCGAGTGTCCCGGCACAGCAACGCTTGTGGGGTTGCAAACGAGGACCACAGCAACTAAAGCATCCACTATTTCTACTAATTACACACCACGCTTATTTCTCGTGATTTTGAGCCTGCATTGGACCGTCGCATCCTGTCCTATGTTTCTCCGACTTTTCAAAGTTGTCACTGTGCTGGCCGCAGAGTCAGCCGCACAGCTTGAAGGTATCCATTGTGTCATTGGAAAGACTGAAAATTTTTGACAGCTTTATGAATCATGCATTCATAGCCTATCCCCATTCGTTGGCAGTATATTATGTAACGTCTTCGCATCAACTACGTTCCTGTGCTACTGGCCGCCTTCCTTGTCAGGGCCTAGGGCAACTGTTCCCGTGACAAAATTTCTCAAGCGTGGTGCTCAATAACTGATGTACCCATCAGTTAGATCCAACTGGTCTCGGAGCCGCCGACAAGGCTCCTACTTCGGGCTCTGCTTGTTCCTTTCAATCAAGTAGCCCACACTTCTTGGCTGTAAAGGCTACGATGGATTCATCCTCAGCAAGCTGGAATCTTGAGGTTAAAACCAAATTTTCGCCACCTTCTCAAATTCCGATCTCAGAGTTGAGAGAACAAGACACTGCCGCTGTCAATACTATCTCAGCCGCTCCACCAACCGACTGCAATGAAACGTTTCCGATCAGCTGTGCTGTACCGCCAGGTCCAGAAGGTCGGACTCATCATAGTCTGCATGAGCCACAAATGCTAAGTTCTGTAGGACTGAAATCTTCACAGGCTTCCTCTGGACCCTACGGTGACGAACATGGTCGATCCGCTTATGCGTCATGGGCCAGTACCAAAGAACGAGGAGTAAATGAGTATGTGAAGGACTTGCAGGAGGCTGGAAGGTACGCTTTGTGGGCACCGCTGCTGCATGGTGCATCTACGCTAGAAGAACCGTCCTTATTGTTGGGACAGATTCGCTTCGACGTGACGGCAGATGACCAGCGTGGGTCTTGGCTGTTGCCGGAAGAATTGTTGGCTCAGCAGCGAAGGCCAGTCGATGAGGATGGTGATGATAGGCAGCTTTTTACCAACACACCAATTACTGAAGAGGAGCAGCAGGCAATAGACCATGTTTTGATGCAGTTGCTGGTCCAC